GGGGTGTGCCTGAGGCAGCTGATCGATGTTGTTTCTCTCTCATCGATGTTTCTAACTCTCTATCCCTCTCCTTTCCTCTCTGTAAAAAAATCAATAAAATATATTTTTAAAAAAAATCACCCTATTCAGGGAGACAGATATTAGGTATCCAATTAAGTGCCATTTGCCAACCACACCCAAGGACAGACAAATGAGATATTCTTATATCTCATTTTGGTACATCAGTATAAAGCTGATGAATATTCTATTGATTCTGCCTTATGACTTCCCCTAAATGTGCAGCCTTTAAAACTCCTGAAAATAAAGGTTCTGGGGTGCTCCCCCTCCAGGGAGCAGGCCCAAGCCACTTCCCAAATGAATAAAGGGACAAAAGATATTTCAGGCACAGGGAATAGTGTGTGCAAATAGCATGGAATGGCTCGTGAACGATCAGAAAGCTGGCATTTCTGGAGGAAGGTCATATTATTCACACACACACACACACACACACACACCAAACCTCTTCTTTGGCCGAAACAAGTTGGGATGAGCATGTGATGCTGAGGCTAATCAGTCCACGTCTAATTGGAGGGTAAAATGAGAAGAGAAAAAAGAATTTTTCCTTGTCACTTGTGCCTGGGAATAGACGTTGGAATTCAATTTAGAGAAATGGGTGTTACCTCACAACAGATCCTACCTGCTTCTTTCAGTGATGAAAATGACATATGATATTTATTTTCAATTTTTTGAAGTTTTGTTCAAGAAAGACCCGCAACGTACTTAAGCAGGATTGGGTTTCTATATGGGTTGGAGGCAAACTGAAAAAGAAGTTGACGTAGCTAATCAGCGATGGCTTTGATGAAATGTATTCACACACAAACAATTGGCAGGCCAATCATTTCAGAGCATGTTTTTTTCAAGATGTCAGTTTGTTTTAATAGTAGGTTGTTATCCCCAAACTACCATTTCTTTTCTTCTTCTCCTTTTTTTTTTTTTTTTTTGTGAGTTTTCAAAAAGCAATAATGTAAGCCACGGGAAAACAACCCACAAAAATGCTTTTGCCAATTAAAAGAAAGTCTTTCCATGTACATGTGCTTGAACTGGAATAACCTGAAAGAGTTTTTAAAGATTTCATTAGAATGAAAAAAAACTTTAAAAAGTAGGATCTATTCGAATCTCACGTTGTCATCCGAGGCTCCCGCAGTTAAAGACCATGCCATCATTTCCATTCTACTTACCTCCTCATTTCCAGGGCTTATTAGCCTGGCTGTAAAAACTTGCCTCAGTTAAAATTTGGCAAGAGGACAAGGGCTGCGTGCCAGAAGTAATTTACTATCCCGTGTGGTTTGCAAAGTAAAAGAAGCTATACATAATAGAAAAAGAAATGAAAAGTCCCCGGTTCCAAATATTTTAATGTGTATAATGTGTGTCGCCTCAAACTCTTCAGCTTTTGTTGTAGCAGTGTGAGATAACATGAAAGGTTTGAAAAGTACAGATGCTTTGCATTCGCATCAAACAGCGGGCTCTGGTGTTCTTAGGCATCAAAGACCAATCCGTGTCTATCACTTCTGCTCTGACTTTGAAGTGGACCGAAGCTCTCTGTGTGGGAGAAGCGGGCAGGGGACTTCAGCAAGGTAGGGGGATGGGATTCCAGGTGCTTTAGCATTGAAGTTAGGTACGTCCCTTTACCAAATAATAATAATAATCTATAATAATAAAAGCATAATATGCTAATTAGACCAGACGTCCTTCTGGACATCCTTCCAGTCATTCTTCCGGACGACCTTCCAGACGAAGCCAGGGCTGCGAGGGAAGCCCGGGTCCCGGATGCCAGAAGGAAGCCGGTGCTGGCAGCCCGGGGAAGGAAGGCCTACTCTTGCACGTATTTCGTGCATCAGGCCTCTAGTAATAATAATAATAAAAGATAAGCATTTCTTTGCCTGCTGTTTTTAACCACTGAGTTATCTGAGAACTTAATCTTCAGATGTGACAATGAATAATTAAAGAAAAGTTCAAGCTATTTTGAAGTTTACACTTATGTATTTTAAAGGCAAGAACAGAAGTTTTGACTTGATTTGTAAACATCTGCTATCGTTCATCTGTCAGACTCCCTAAGAGATTGTCTTAGGGCCCTTAGACCCCTCATCCCTGTTTTCCAAACTGGGTTCAATGGGGCCAGTGTTTCTCCAACATGGGGTGAGCAGGATACATCTTTCTGGGATTAATCTTACATGATGATTTGAAACACACACACAATAATTTATATTAAATATGTCTTTTAATTTGATTTCAGAGAGAGGAAGGGAGAGGGATAAAGAGATAGAAACATCGATGAGATGAGAGAGAAACATCATCTATTGGCTGCCTCCTGCACACCCCTACTAAAGGTAGAGCCCGAAACCCTGGCATGTGCCCTGACCGGGAATCGAACTGTGACCTCCTGGTTCAGGGGTTGACGCTCAACCACTGAGCAACACCAGCCGGGCCAGGCCAATAATTTATTTTAAAATTGTGGGCTCGGATGCAAAATTCACGTGAACTCTTTTGGAGAGGGAGAAGGCTTTGGCCATTTGTGTTTCAATATTTTTCTCTTGAAAGGAATGGTACCCTCAAAGAGAGAGTCTGGTCATTACTTTTTTCTTTTAAATTAAAGTATAACTTTCATGAAGTGCACAAATCTAAAGTTTGAACCTCAATGGATGGATTTTTGCATATGTGTACAACTGTTACAGAATAGTAAGAAGCTAGGAAAATTCCAGGACAAGCAGAATAGGGAAACTAAGTTAGACAGCAGTTTGCAGGCCCCTAGTAAATCCTATTTTCCCTAAACCAAGGACACTTAAGAGTAAATAGGTTGCACTTCTCCCCAAACCGAGGGTAAGTGGCTTAAATCACCCTACTCAGGGAGACATAGCAGAAATTCAATTAGTGTAATTTGCCAACCACATCCTTGGACAGATGAAGTTAAGAGAATAAACCTCGTTTTGGTTACAGCAGCATAAAGTTGGTGAATATTCTATTGAGATCCTCTCCTAAGACCTCCCCTAAACACCCAGCCTTAAAACCCCTCAAAATAAAGGTCCCAGCACACCCTCTCCCTCCAGAGAGCATGCCCTTGCCATTCCCTCCCCCCCCCCAGGCATGCATCTCCTAAACTCCTCGGGACCCCACAAGACTTGTAACCAGGGGAGCAATGGGCAGTGGCAGCTTGTCCCAAGCTAACCCCCTGAACTTGTCTCTGAGGTCCCCTTTTCGCTCACTTCTCAGTGAGCCAAAGCAGCACAACCTAGGTGTCCTGTTGCTTCTTCTAAGTCAGTGATTCTCAACCTTCCTAATGCCGCGACCCTTTAATACAGTTCCTCATGTTGTGGTGACCCCCAACCATAAGGTTATTTTCGTTGCTACTTCATAACTGTAATTTTGGTACTGTTATGAATCGTCATGTAAATATCTGATATGCAGGATGTATTTTCATTGTTATAAATTGAACATAGTTAAAGCATAGTGATTAATCACAAAAACAATATGTAGTTATATATGTGTTTTCCAATGGTCTTAGGCGACCCCTGTGAAAGGGTCGTTCGACCCCCAAAGGGGTCTCGACCCACAGGTTGAGAACTGCTGTTCTAAGTTCTTCCTTGTTTCACAGTCCTAAGTATATTCTTTGCTGCAGTCAATACATTCTTGCTTGTTTTTCTACACTTTGTCTCTTGATTGTAATCTTTCCTTTAAGGAGACAAGAACAGACAAAACCAGTGGGGTAAAATGTGAAAGGAAAAAAAGAAAAGCACAGAGGTGGGAGCATGGTGAATGCTAACCCTATTCCTCTTTCATAAATCACACAGAGGATCAAGGTGCTCATGTGAATGTTGAAATAAACAGGTCTAGCAAGAACTCCAGCTTTGGTTCTGTATCCTCCTAAAAAAGAACTGAGCTGTATAGTTATTTTGAGTTTAGTAATTATACCAACAATGTCGCATCCCAGCTGGTTTGTCTGATGGTTTTCTTAGAAATGCTAAGTTGCTTTATGGTTTAGGAGTGTCTATACCTTACTGATTTTATTCGATAACAAACAAACTTTTCAATAACAAGATCTCGTCTTCTAAAAAATGTTTCTGATGTCCACCCATGGCCATAAGTTTTTGAAAGACCTTGTCCTACACAGCCAGGATCATTATTTAAATAATAAAAATCTCTCCCCAAAAAAGGTAATCAGCCAATTATTGATTCTAATTGGCACGTGAACAACCAGTGTTATCACACTGGTTTCTAAATCTAGCTGAAAAAGACATAGTGCTTTGGATAGCCTGATCAGCTTTAGCGCCCCCTACGATTTTCATTACTAACTTTTGTTTTGTTTTGTTTTATATATATTTTTATTGATTTCAGAGAGGAAAGGAGAGGGAGAGAGAGAGAGATAAAAACATCAATGATGAGAGAGAATCATTGATTGGCTGTCTCCTGCATGCCCCCTATTGGGGATGGAGCCCACAACCAGGGCATGTGCCCTTGATCGGAATGAAACCCAGGACCCTCTGGTCCGAAGGCCAATGCTCTAGCCACTGAGCCAAACCAGCTAGGACTCATTACTAACTTTTTGAAATGTTTACTCGAAAGAGTTCGCTCTTGTATTATTATTTATTGTATTATTTTTGTCTCACCCTGTACAATACGCTTTATCCTTTGTTTTGTTGTTGTTATTTTTCTTGGTGTTGGAAAGCAAGGACGTGGGATGAGAGCAGAATTAAAGGAGACAATATTCTGTAGAAAATGCATCTCACCTCTCTTTCAGGTAGCTCCTACAGACCGGGAGGCGCTTTTTCTAAACCCCGCCCCACGCTAGCCCCGCCCCTCCACGCCGGTCCCCTGGGGCCGTCCTTCGAAAGAGGGGCCCTCGCTGCAATACTGCAGTCGGCCACAGGGAGGAGACAGCGGCCGCAAGTGCCCGAGGGCCTCTCCGACGGCGGAGGCGGCGGAAACGGAAAAGGCGGGACCTAGAGCGCACGTTACGTCAGCACGTGCGAGCGTCCGGGCGGGGTCTCCGGAATAGGTGGGCCCTTCCAGCGCGTGCCGGAAGTTGAGAGGCGCTTGGTGGGGTTCTAGGGTTCGGACCTCATGGCGGAGATCATCCAGGAACGCATAGAGGACCGGCTCCCGGAGTTGGAGCAGCTGGAGCGCATCGGACTGTTCAGTCATGCGGAGATAAAGTGAGCTGAGGACGGAGAAGCGCTGGGGCGGGCCGAGGGGAGGTTGCGGCGCGAGCGTGCCTGTGTGCCGGGGGCAGGGATGGGAGCACCTGGCTGGTGTTTATTTTCCTATCGTGGCGGAAGCCCGTCTCTAGATGTTGACGATGCCTAGAATTAACTTCTCATTTTACTGCAAGGGGACCCGTCCCGCAAGACATACTGACAGCCCTTCAGGGAGCCGGGTCTTGGGGCTGTAAAGGTGATAAGACCAGGGTCTCTGCCCATCAGGCGCCGGTGGTGGGGGAGACGCGCTCGGATCGCAGTGCGGTGTGTACTGTGCGGTGACCGGAGATGCTCTGGGGATGCGGAGAGGGCACGAGGGCACCCCGGAGGAGCAGATAAGTCTTTCCAACAAGACTTGAGGACGGGGCCCATTTAATTCAATTTCCTGTTCTGCCCCAGGGCTTAGCCAACAATGTCTGGTATAAAATGGGCACTCAGTAATTGGTTAACATTAAGTCTAATAGTTTTAAATGGTTTTCTGCCTCTGTTTCTTCATTTTACAATGACTGTGAATGTACTAATGTGATTACGGGGACCCTTAAAGTAAACATCGTTAATGAAATGTAACGTATCAGTGTGGACTCTGAATAAGGGCTCAGTGAATGTTGTTATTAACTAGAGACAATTATTGGTCTTGCATATCTTGTATTCTCCTAAAATGCACATTTTGTGTGTGTATTCCTTAGCTGAATACAGAGTCTTCTCTCGTAAGTCCTTGTAGAAATAATAAACCTTTCTATGTTGAGACAATCTAGGTTTTGGAGTGTGTGTGTGTGTGTGTGTGTGTGTGTGTGTGTTTAGTCTGCATGTTGGGAACTCAGAAGTAAGAGGAATTTAGGAAAGAGTTGATTATTATTAAAACTTAAGTGACCTGAATTTGGAGTAAAAGGAATCTTTATTAATGGCAAATATAAATGATGCAAAATATTTAAGATTTTTATTTTGTTTTAGTTTTTTGCTGGTGGGAATGTTAGTGGTTCTGGCAATTAAGATGATTTTCATGAAAGTTTAAAAATATATCCTGATGCCCTTAAGAACACAGAAGTAATCATGTAAGAGAATACTTGCTTATGAAGGGTAATTGGGAATTATATGTTTTGGTAAATATGTTTTAAATATATAAAAAATTAAGAGACTTAACAAAACCCATAGTTATTTAACCTTTGCTTTTTAAAAAAATACTTTTTTATTGATTGCAGAGAGAGGAAGGGAGAGGGAGAGAAAGATTGAAACATCAACGATGAGAGAGAATCATTGATTCGCTGCCTCCTGCATGCCCCCCACTGGGGATCGAGCTGGCAACCAGGCATGTGCTCTTGACCGGAATCGAACCTGGGACCCTTCAGTCCGCAGGCTGACCCTCTATCCATTGAGCGAAACCGGCTAGGGCTAAGCTTTGCTCTTTTCAAGTGTTACATTTTAAATGGCTTTCTCCTCAGGGCTATCATTAAGAAGGCTTCAGATCTAGAATACAAAATACAGCGAAGAGCTCTTTGTAAGGAAGACTTTATCAATTATGTTCAAGTAAGTGAATAATTTCATGACTTTTAATCTCACACATTTTAAATTAATTGAACGGCCAGCTTGATGTCAATTTTCAATGAAGTTCTAGAACTGATGATTAGACAGGTAACTTATGAACAAAACAGGTGGTTTGAGAACAGCATTGCTCCACTAAAGCTTTAGTTCTTGGCAAACAACATTTATTTATTTTTTATGGAGTTAGTAGATCAGAGACTGCCAAAGACACCACATTGTGTATCAGGATTTCAGCAAGCGACTTGACAGACTCTTTTAAAAAAGCCTTTATTGTTGAGAGTATTACAGATGTCCCCCGTCCCCATTACTCCCTTCCACCTATTCCCGCCCCACCCCAGGCCTTTACCACCTGTTATCTGTATCCATAGGTGTTGCATCCTATATAATGAAACCCGAATATGCAAGTTGACTGAATGGTGGAATGACCGGTTGCTATGACATGCTATGACCACCAGGGGGCAGACACTCAATGCAGGAGCTGCCCCCTGGTGGTCAATGTGCTCCCAAAGTGGGGGAGTGCTGCTGAGCCAGAAGCTGGGCTAATGGCTGGCGAGCACAGTGGCGGTGGTGGGAGCCTTCTCCCGCCTCCGCAGCAGATGGGCGGTAAGGAGTGAGGGGTGCTGGACTGCAAGAGGCCCGGACTGTGAGAGGTATGTCTGACTTAGGGGCCTAAGCCAGCAGTCAGACATACCCTGAGGGGTCCCGGACTGTGAGAGGACATAGGCTGGGCTAAAGGACCCCCTTCTTCTCCCCTCCCTCCCCCGCCCTGCACCAATGTCGTGCGCTGGGCCTCTAGTATCTATACATATAAAATCCTAAATGACCAAATGACCGGTCGACCGGTTGCTATGATGCTCACTGACCATCGGGGGACAGAAGCTCAACGCACAGGATCGGGCTCCCTCCTTTCTGGATTGGGCCTGCGGGGATCGGGCCGAAACTGGCTATCCGATATCTCCCGAGGGGTCCTGGATTGTGAGAGAGTGCAGGCCAGGCCGAGGGACCCCACTGGTGCAAGAATCCGTGCACCAGGCCTCTGGTATGCATATAAGATCTTTCATTAATTTCTGACCAACTGTCTCTTATGGGGGGAAAAAAGGAGAGTGAGTTTGATGATAGTAGCTGGTTGGAAAGTCTATGCTTATGTGTCTGTAAGTGTCAATTTAGAAAGAGGTTGCCACAAAATTCTTCAGTCCTGTAAATGAATAGAAGATTTGAGTGAGGATAAAATATATATGCTAGCCCGGCTGGAGTGGCTCAGTGGTTGAGTGTTGACCTATGAACCAGGAGATCATGGTTCGATTCCCAGTCAAGGGCACATGCCTGGTTTGTGGGCTCGATCCCCAGTAGGTGGTGTGCAGGAAGCAGCCAATCAATGATTCTCTTTCATCATTGATGTTTCTATGTCTCCCTCTCCCTTCCTTTCTGAAATGAATAAAAATATATTTAAAAAGTATATATATATACATGCTAGACTAATTTTCAGATGGGGGAGAATAGCTACTATGTTGGATGACAAAATCAGGATTCAGAAAGAACCCAATAACAAGATGAAATGTTATAAGACTAAAGGTTCTGAGCTTGAATTAAATAAAACTAATGGGCCCTGGCTGGTGTGGCTCAGTTGGTTGAATATCATCCTGTGCACCAAGGGGTTGCAGGGTCGATTCCTGGTCAGGGCACATGCCCAGGTTGTGGGCTTGATTCCCAGGAGGGAGTGTGCAGGAGGCAGCTGATTGATGTGTCTCGCTTATTGATGTTTTTCTCCCTCTCCTTTTCTCGTTTTCTAAAATCATAAACATATTAAAAAATCACAACAAAATCCTAATGATATATCCAACCTGGCTAAGAGTCTTCTATTTGAAAGGGGTTCTAGGGCTCATAGTAAGTTGCTAACTTAAAATCAGCCAAGAGCATATTGTGTCAAAAAACAGAATTTAATGGATTATGTTAATGAAAGTAGGGTGTAGGGTAAGTTGAACAGAGGATATTGCAAGTAGTAGGCACTCAGAAGATGTTGGTTTGAAAAAAAGTGTGGAGCAAGCAGTGTGTTAAGCTCAAGACTACATTTAAGAAGGACTTTGAAAGGTTGGTTGGAAGGCAGCCAGGATGGAAACCTCCTTCTAGGAGGATTTATTGAAGGAAGTAGAGGTGTTTAACTGTCAGGAGACTTAAGAAGTGGCAAATCACTTCACTCTTCAAATATTTAAGAATTGTGTGAGAACAACATAAACTGGTGAACAAAAACAGATCCAGAGACAGAGAAGCATCAATCAGACCATCAAACCTCAGAGGGAAGGTAGGGGAGGGTGGGGGAAAGGGGGAGAGATCAACCAAAGGACTTATATGCAAGCATATAGGCCTAACCAATGGACACAGACGTCAGGGGGGTAAGGGGTTGGGGGGTAATGTGGGGATAAGGACACATATGTAATAACTTAATAAAAACAATAATAAAGGCAGTACAAATAGAGGAATATGAAAAAAAAGAATTGTGTGTGGATTAGATTGATTTGTTTAGTTTTACAAGAGTGTATGACTTAAATAAGTAGATTAAAAACATATAAACACACACTTACATATATTTCCACATCCCCCATTTGCACACAACCATATAAACTTGCTATGAGGTATAAGAGGCATTTTATTTTTAGTATTTTTTAATCCTCACCTGAGGATATTTTTTCCACTGATTGCTAGAGAGAGTGGAAAGGAGGGAGGAAGGGGGGGGGCGGGGGGAGAAAGAAACATTGATGTGAGAGACACATCAATGGGTTGCCTCCCACATGCTCCCTGCAACCGAGCTACATGCCCTTGCCTGGAATTGAGCCCGAGACCCTTGAGTTTGAGGGTCTGTGCTCTGTCCACCTGAGCCATAACAGCTAGGGCATATGTGTATTTTTCAGTTTTGTAGAAGTAAGGTGAATTTTCAGTGAATGCTAGACATTTACTGTAGATGATGCTTTTTGATAGCAAATTACCTTCTACTTTCTATTCCTGATTTTAGCTAAATGTATTTCCTACATATGTAAAATGTTATAATTTTTCTTATTTTTGTCTTTTTTGGTATGTTTTTCTTCCACAGTATGAAATTAATTTTCTGGAGCTGATCCAGAGAAGAAGAGCTGTAAGTAGATGATTTTCTGGAAGTTTGAAAAAATATCGAATGAAATAGGGTGGCTCTATAGCTAGAACTTGGGTTTGGGAAGCGGTTGGCATTGGTAAGTTGCATGATGATGTACTCATAATGGATGTTTGTAACTATTTGCTTTCTCTGTCAGTACTGTTGAATGACCAAGTAGGAATGCAGCTTTGGATTAATGTAATTAAACTGAGGCTTTGGTTTTTTTTTTATGTTCTTTTTAGCGCATCGGGTATTCATTTAAGAAGGATGAGATTGAGAATTCTATTGTACACCGGGTACAAGGCATATTCCGACGAGCTTCAGCAAAGTGGAAAGTAAGTGATCAGAGCTTGCTTAACTGTAAGAGATGTGAAGATATGTATTATACATATTATGACGTGGATATTCCAATGTATTGTCTATTTCTATTCTTACCTTGGGTGTCTCAGTACTTGTTCTAATGATGGTATCATTACTTGAAACCACTTATTAAACCATTAAGAAAATTGATCTCACCCTGGCTGGTTTGGCTCAGTGGATAGAGTGTCGGCCTGCAGACTGAAGGGTTCCAGGTTAGATTCCGGCCAAGGGCACGTGCTCGGGTTGTGGGCTCGATCCCCAGTAGGAGGTGTGCAGTGGGCAGCTGATCAATGATTCTCTCTCATCATTGATGTTTCTATCTCTCTCTCCCTCTCCCTTCCTCTCTGAAATCAATAAAGAAATATCTACACTAATAAAAGAGAAAAATGGTAATTGGTGTATGACGCTACCCTTTTCATTGGCTAATCAGGGCTATATGCAAATTAACTGCCAACTAAGATTGGCAGTTAAAACTGCCAACAAGATGGTGGTTAATTTACATATGTAGGCACAATGCAGGGAGGCGAAAGGGAAAGCAGGAAGAAGCTCCCTGCCACTGACAGTGATCAGAAACCCAGGGGGTAGCTAAGAGCTGGGGGGCAGGGCAAAGGCGCCTTTGCCCTGCCCCCCAGCCATGATTGGAGAATCAGGTGCCTTTTCCGCCCTGGCCAGTGATAGCAGGAAGTAGGGGTGGAGCCAGCGATGGGAGCTGGGCACGGTCGAAGCTGGCAGTCCCAGGAGCTAGGGGTCCCTTGCCTGGGCCTAAAGCGAAGCCCACGATCGCGGGGCCGCTGCAGCTGCGGGTCCCCGCTGCCCGGGACGGACGCCTCAGCCAGAGGCGTCCTGCAGGGGCAGGGGCAGAGCCCGCGCGATCGCGGCGCCCCCCGCTGCCACTGCAGGTCCCTGCTGCCCGGGCCGGATGCCTAGGCCAGAGGCGTTAGGCCTGGGCAGGGGCGGAGCGTGCAACCGCGGGGAGCTGGGGGTCCCCTGCCCAGGCCTGACACCTCTGCCAGAGGCCTCAGGCCTGGTCAAGGGGCCGATCCGGTGATTGGTGATCGGAGGGTGATGAGGGTCAACTCCTCTGGCTGAGGCATCAGGCCTGGGCAAGGGGCAGAGCCAGCAATCGGAGGAGTCTGGGGGTCCCCTGCCCAGGCCTGATTCCTGGGCCAGAGGCATCAGGCCTGGGCTGGGGGCAGAACCAGTGATGGGGGGAAATGAGGGTCCCCTGCCTCTGTCAGAGGCGTCAGGCCTGGGCAAGGGGCTGATCCTGCGATTGGAGGGTGATGGGGGTCAACGCCTGAGGGCTCCCAATATGTGAGAGGGGGCAGGCTGGGCTGAGGGACACTCCCCCCCCCCCCCAGTGCACGAATTTTGTGCACCGGGCCCCTAGTATATGTATAAAAAAAGTTGGTCTCATTACTTTATAGTTATTCTGTGAGGATGGTGCTTCAAGCAGTGGATTTGATACATAATTAAGGATCAGAAAGTTGTTTTGATATCTCTAAGGAAAGACTTAGATGTGGGAAGGTAAATGCTTAGAGTAGGGACAGTATCTCAGTAACTTGATTTTCTTCAAGTTCAGCTCTGGGACTGGGACATATTATATACACTAGAGGCCCAATGCATGAAATTTGTGCAAAGGGGCTTGGCCCTCACAGCTGCGGCGGCTGACATCGGCCCTCGCAGCCCTGGCTTCGTCCAGAAGGTCGCCCAGAAGGTCATTTGGCTGTCTGGTCTAATTAGCATAGTATGCTTTTATTATAGGTTATATGGGAAGTACTTTGGATTCCTTGGAATGACAAATTTTGGTTTGCTATTCTTTTTAATTTTTTTGGTAATCCAAACCCAGGGCTATTTTTCCATTGATTTTTATTTTATTATTTTTTAATATATACATTTTTATTGATTTCAGAGATGGAAGGGAGAGGGAGAGAGAGAAACATCAATGATGAGAGGGAATCATTGATTGGCTGCCTCCTGCACGCCCCCCACTGGGGATCGGGCCCACAATCCAGGCATGTACCCTTGACTGGAATTGAACCCAGGGACCTTCAGTCCTCTTTCCTATGCTCTATCTGCTGAGCCAAACTAGCCAGGGCTCCATTGATTTTTAGAGTGTGGAAGGAAGGGGGAGAGACAGAAAGAGAAACATCTATGTGAGAGAAACACATAGATTGGTCGCCTCCCACACATGCCCCAACCGCTGCACGCACCCCAGGCTCGAGATTGAGCCTACAGTCGAGGAATGTGCCCTTGACCGGAATTGAACCTGAGACCCTTTAGTCCTTGGGCTGACGCTCTATCCACTGAGCCAAACCAGCTTGGGCTGGGTTGTTATTCTTGATTGAGACCATTTAAAAACTGCATTGAACAAATTGGATAGACAACAAATTTTGTCTTGGAGCATGGTAGGTGGTAGTAGGGAACAGATTGAGTTATTGTGGTTAAGAGATCTAAGGCCTTGATGAGGAAGAGCCTAATATACTAAAGGCGGTTTGCCAACCGCGGCTCGTGAGCCACATGCGGCTCTTTGCCCCTTCAGTGTGGCCGCGAAGTTTCAATCGCACTGTACGTGCGCGCCTGCACGTGGTATTTTGTGGAAGAGCCACACTCAAGGGGCTGCAGTTTGCCGACCACTGCACTAAAGGGTGTCATAACTGATGAGATTTTCTGAAATCTGCCATTATTTCAAAGTTGTTTTAAATATAAAGTTCAAATTCAGGCAGCTTATTACATTGCTTTTCTTGCAGGATGATGTTCAACTTTGGCTATCCTATGTAGTCTTCTGTAAGAAATGGGTGAGTATTTTGGACAGCGTGTCTTGCTCCCTCTTTCCTTCTTTTAGTTAGTTGGCCTTTTAAGCCCCATACTTGACTACTGAATTCCATGTTTTCTCCAAAGGTGTTAGGGTGAACAAATGGGAAAAGAACCCAAGAAGGCTGAACTTCAGTGTAACATTTGCATATCTGAATGATTCAGTGGCTTTCAATTCAGTTGAAAAGAAAATGATCTTTATGTTCATTAAAGTTGAAAACAAATTTTTTAAATTTTATTTATTTTTGAGAGAGGGAGGGAGGGAAGGGGAAAGAGAGAGAAAGGGAGAGAGTGAGAGAGAGTCTTGTATGTGTCCTGCTTGGAGATCGAACCCATAACCCGAGTGCATCGGGACAACTCTCCAACCAACTGAGCTACCCAGCCGGGGTCTGAATTTTTTAAAATTTATTTTATATTTAGGATATTTAGGTACAGTGGTTTAAGTAGAAGAAAACTATGAGTGCCTTTGTATGCTTACATGCCCCTAATGATAGCCCCACTGGATTTTATAGATGGTAGGGGTACAGGACAGATCACTTAGAGATTAGTAGCAGCGATTTTGCTGTGTAGGAAGTTTAATTTTTCTTCCTCTTTTCAGGCTACCAAAGCTCAACTTAGCAAGGTATTCTCTGCCATGTTGGCCATTCATTCAAACAAGCCAGGTATGGTGAAATCCTTGTCAATTCTTTTTATACCTTTTATGTAGATGCATACTATTTTCCTGATAAATCGAAAAACTTATTTTGAGAATGTGAGCTTAGGTACTCGGCCTCAGGAGACTTGGTTCCTGAATAACTGCTTCTTCGTTCATCTCTGCCTGCTGTGTACTGTGTCAGGCATTATATCTGTAAAAGAAACTCTTTGGTCCTTTGAGGGACATTCTGTTTGAAGGCAGTCTTATTTAAGGGTTTTCAGAAACTTCCAGGGGAAAAGATTAATACAGATTTATAAGAATGACTGGCACAGAGTAGGTGCTCATGTTTTGTAAGAGAAACACTTCTCTTGTGTATACTGTGTGATGGTACATTATTTTACAGTGGAGCTGCTCCTGTGCCTGTTCTCAAGTATTAGGCTCCCCTAGATATTTTACAACACATGAGTCTCAATTAGGCTACATTTGGGACGAGTTTATTCAGAAGAATACAGCAGGACAGCGTAGGTGCCTTTCTTCAGTAGAGTGCTGCTGGCACTTCAGAGGCTAGTAACGGTTCAGGTGTGAGGGGATGAGTGGGTAGAGGAGCCACTCTGGCTTAGAAGACCCATGGATGGGCATAGCTTCAGGACCCTAGCCTAGTCCAGATGTGGTTACCAAGCATAGGTCACTTTTTTTTTTAAATGTACTTTATTGATTTTCTACACAGAGGAAGGGAGAGGGATAGAGAGAAACATCGATGAGAGAGAAACATCGATCAGCTGCCTCCTGCACACCCCCTACTGGGGATGTGCCCGCAACCAAGGTACATGCCCTTGACTGGAATCGAACCTGGGACCCTTCAGTCCGCAGGCTGATGCTCTAGCCACTGAGCCAAACCGGTTAGGGCCATAGGTCACTTTTACCAAAGGTAATCTTGTTAACCTTTATTAAGTTTATAGGGAAATGGTTAGAATGCAAACTCAAGTTTAATTTCCCATCTAGAAGGACAAAAGTTTTGCTTTTTAAGCCTTTATTCCTAGCAGGTATGATAAAAATTTATTTTAAAAATTATGAGCCATTTAAGAAAATTATGGACTGTTTTAATTAGAGAAAAGAGGAAAATAATTTTATTTCATTGATTCTAAGATGCACAATTTTTTTCCAGCATTTTATCACTTTTAAAATTTGTATGTGACTTCAAATGATGTTGACTTTAGATCTGATGAAATAGTAATAGAACCATAATAACTACTTTTAGATGTTAATATTTACCTGTTTTCTTTAGGATATTCTTTGTAATTTTATTCTTTGTAATTTTAGATAAAGCAACAATACAGATAACCATTACAAACTCCCTCTCTCCTTTTCCTTCCTCTTTTGATAGGATTAAAAAATTCTTTCAGTATTAAAATTGGAGCATTCATTTTTTGTGTGTGTGCCTAAGTTAGTTACTTTATTAAAATGAAGTCTGATGTTTTCATTTATAGCTTTGTGGATTATGGCGGCCAAATGGGAAATGGAAGATCGCTTGTCTTCAGAAAGTGCAAGACAACTCTTTCTTCGAGCTCTGCGCTTTCATCCCCAGTCTGCAAAACTTTATCAAGAAGTGAGTGTGTGTGTTCATTCCATGAGAGAGATGTCTCACTTTGGTCCTCTGGAGACACACATTCTTTAAGTTAAAAAAAACTTGGAATTACAGAGGCTAGGGGTTAGTAGGGAGTTGCTGGAGAAAGGGGGCTAGGAGGGTATATTTTGGCCAGTAGTAGGTTTTGACCCTGTGCATCCTCTAGGTCAGTGGTTCTCAACCTTCTGGCCCTTTAAATACAGTTCCTCATGTTGTGACCCAACCATATAATTATTTTCGTTGCTACATAACTGTAATGTTGTTAATGTTATGAATCTTAATGTAAATATCTGATATGCAGGATGGTCTTAGGCCAGGGGTGGGCAAACTTTTTGACTCGAGGGCCACAATGGGTTCTTAAACTGGACCGGAGGGCCGGAACAAAAGCATGGATGGAGTGTTTGTGTGAACTAATATAAATTCAAAGTAAACGGCATTACATAAAAGGGTACGGTCTTTTTTTTTTTTTAAATTTTACTCATTTCAAACGGGCCGATCCGGCCTGCGGGCCGTAGTTTGCCCACGGCTGTCTTAGGCGATCCCTGTGAAAGGGTTGTGCGTCCGCCAAAGGGGTCGCGACCCACAGGTTGAGAACCGCTGTTCTAGGTTGTTAGTGAGACATTAAAGCTGCTACCTGCCCATTATGGTTGGGAGGGGTAGGGAACTGGACCTTACCTTTTTCAGTTGGGGGGCAGGGGTTCAGCCATGTTTATACCTTTGTTCTTATTTTTTTCTTCCCTCTCTCCCTCCTTCCCTCCTGCCCTTCCTCCCACTCACTTCTCTTAGCCTCTCTCCCTCCTTCCTGTCCTTTTCTTCCACTTCTCTTCCACCTCCACCCACTTACCCCCTTTTGCCTTCTCTTCCCCTTTCTTTTCCATTTTCTTCTCATTCTCTTTGTCTCTTTTTCTTGAGGTAGGTACTTTCTTCCCTCCTTGGTAGACTTACTTCCCCTTGGAGGGGTACACTGGGACAATGATGGCTGCTGTACTTTTGATGAGAGAAAACCAAACAAATGTTGGAAATGGTGCATTATTAGAAACTTTGCACCCTTTTCTGAGGTATTTAGTCTTCAAATGAAAATTAGACCTCCATGCTGAGGGGAAAAAGATAATGGGTTTTCATGCTAATAGGTATTGTAGCTGTCCCAACCATATTTTTTTTTGTCTTACAGTAATTTAATGATGTTTTATATTGTACTCTTTTTTTTAAAATACATTTCATTGATTTTTTTTTACAGAGAGGAAGGGAGAGGGATAGAGAGGTAGAAACATTGATGAGAGAGAAACATTGATCAGCTGCCTTCTGCACACTCCCTCCTGGGAATGTGCCCGAAACCAAGGTACATGCCTTTGACCAGAATCGAACCTGCCCTTGAGTCCGTAGGCCGTCGCTCTATTCACTGAGCCAAACTGGTTAGGGCTTATATTGTACTCTTGATTTCCTTTGTTTTTCATATTCTACTAGACATTCCTTTGCTGCCTTGATTATTTTTATTGAAAAACTATTTGTAAGAATCAGTCTTCCCTGCTGTTAGAGGGTTATTGTATGGTATTTTTATTTTTTCCCCATCACCATTTATTTCCCCTCTCTTCCGCCTCTATCCCACCCCTCCCCACCCCCACCCCCGTGTTATTATTTTACATGTTTTTTGGAGGCTTTCAATAAATGTTCATACTTGTATTTTCTAAAATGGGAATAGATTTATTGTTTATTCTTATCAAAAATAATTAGAATTTATTATTTCATAGAAAACAGTTCTATGAAAAAGTAACAGGAAAAGTATTCTTATCACCCATACTTTATGCCAATTACAGATATTTAAAACAGGTTTTATTTCTGAAAAGTAGGACTATAACATTCTTGTGTTCTGTATTTTTATCAAATACTAGAGGCCCGGTGCACAAAATTTGTGCATGGGTAGGGTCCCTAGGCCTGGCCGGCGATCAGGGTAGATTGGGGCCTTCCTTCCCCAGGCTGCCAGCTGCTGGCTGCCGGCTGAGGCCTTCCTTCCCCTGGCTGCTGGCTGCTGGCCAGGGCCTTTCTTCATTCTGTGCCGCCCCCTGGTGGTCAGCGCCCGTCATAGTGAGAGGTCGAACTCCCAGTTGGTTGAACTCCCAAGGGGACAATTTGCATATTAGCCTTTTATTATATAGGAGGATATAATGAATATAGTTCCATGTTAGTCTATATTGATCTATAAGTAGTGGTGTTCAAACATTTTGGTCTTCTTTCAATCTTAAATTACTGAGGACCTCAAAGGTCTTTGTTTATATGGGTTATAGCTATCAGTTTTTACTTCATTGAAAATTAAAACCAAGAAATCTAACAATAGTTATTTAAAAATAAATTCATGATATGTTAATACAGATTAATTATTTTTAGATGAAACCTCTTCTAAAACAAAGTTGAAAAAGAAGAATGGCATTACACATTTTTGTTAATGCCTCGGATACCTGACTTAATAGAGGACAGCTGGATTCTCAGATCGCCTTTGGCATTCAGCCTAGGGCAGTGGTTCTCAGCCTTGGCTGCACATTAGAATCACCTGGGAACCTTGTTAAAATCCTGATTTCTGGGCCTCATCCTCCAGAACTTCTGTTTCTTTGTTACTAATGATGAGGCCCAGAAATCAGGATTTTAACAAGATTCCCAGGTGATTCTAATGTGCAGCCAAGGTTGAGAACCACTGGTCTAGGTCTGTGGTCGGCAAACCACGGCTCTCGAGCCATATGCAGCTCTTTGGCCCCTTCAGTGTGGCTCTTGCACAAAATACCACGTGCGGGCACGCACGTACAGTGCGATTGAAACTTTGTGGCCCATGCACAGAAGTCGGTATTTTGTGGAAGTGCCAGTATTTTGTGGAAGAGCCACACTGAAGGGGCCAAAGAGCTGCATGTGGCTCGCAAGCCACGGTTTGCCGAGCCGCACTTTGCTGACCACTGGTCTAGGTGATAGGGCCCATTATATAGTCTCTGAAAAACTTTAAACTCTTAATATAGTAAGAGTAAAAGGCAAGGAATATGTTAGTATTATTATGAAAGTAATTTACATCTTGCAGACCACCTAAAAGAGTATCGAGAACCCCTACATTAGGATTGTAGTACATCATTAGCAAATCATGTTAATCATGCATTAGTTTCTCTTTGTATACCTGATATTATATGTTTGCCATTGATTTTTACTTCAAAATAATTACAGATTCTCAGCAAGTTACAAAGATAATACAGTGAGGTCCTGTGTACCATATACTACTTAGTTTTCCCTGATGGTTACATTTTATAATAGCAAAGTAGTATAACATCAAAGCCAAGAAATTATTATTGGTATAATGTGCATATATTTCTTTTTCTCCTCGCCTGTGTAGATTTGTGTAGCCATTGCAATCAAGATACAGAACTATTCCACCATCTCAGAATCTCCCTCCTTATCAGTGCCAGCTAGTTTCATAGCAGATATACCACTCCCCCAGGCTTTCCCAGATCCAATTATTATGGCTAAAAAAAGGGCGTCTTCTATGTTTCTAATTAAAAAAAGTTATCTCCAAAGCTTTTCAGTTCATCATTTCCCTTCCGTAGTACTTCAGGATGGAGCTGATGCATGCTGAGAAATTGGGGAAGGAAAAGGAAGAATTTGAGAAAGCCAAAATGGATTTGGTAAGAGCCTAATGTGTTGTAACTTATTAAAAATGTATAGTGTTTTGAGCTGCTTAGGTGTAAGAGAAAAATCTTTGGAATGTATTTTTCTTTCCAATTTAATGTCATATTTGGAAACTTTGAGATGAGTCTGGAGTTGACCTGGTAAAGTGGGCTTAGTAATAAAAATGGAATTTTATGCTATAAAAATAGACATTTGGACTAATTGTAGTGATCCTCAAAATTATTACTGATGGAATGGCCAAATGCTACTTTTTAATACTTTATGATTTCATGAAGTGACATATTAATGGAGCTTGAAAAAGGTTATGAAATGTGTGGTTTCCGGTCTCCTTTTTTATATAATTTTTTATGTGACAGAATAGTTTTAAAGAAAGAAGTTTCAGAATGTTAGAACTGAAAAAGGAACTTTGCTATCATCTATTGTTGCGGTTTTGAACTCTGAAATTAAAAAAAAATTAATTGATTTTTAGAGAGAGAGAGAGGAAGGGAGAAAGAGAGCGAGAGAAACATCCATCTGTTGTTCCACTTATTTATATATTCATTGGCTGATTCTTGTATGTGCCCTGACCGGGGATCGAACCAACAAACTTGGTGTATTGGGACGATGCTCTAACCAACTGAGCTACTTGGCCAGGGTTCTAAAATTTTTCATCCAAATAGAGTTGTACATAGAAGGGTCAATAGGGCATGTAAAATTTGACCTATTCTGGTCTAAATGGGGAGTGAGGCCTTAAGCCAAATGATCCCGCACCACTCCAGGAGTTCGAAGATTAGCGGTCTTATTCAACTACACATTTTCTAAGTGAGGGAATTGTCAGAGAGAGATGTGATTTGCCAGAGATTATATGGCACAGGTAGTCTAGGACAGTTCATTTTTATCCTATTCTTTTTCTACTTACTTCAACTACCTGTTAAGTTACGTTCAATATAACACTCTTTAGGGAAATCTTGATTATCCTGAAGAAATCCTTACGGGTGAGTTGGCACGGATCATCTACAAAAATTCCATAAACATAATTAAAGGTAGGTATGTTTTGAAAATCTCTTTATGATGGGAAAGTGAAACAGTTTACTTATAATGAGGAAGACCTTTAGCTAATTTTGAAAATTTGTTAAAAATTCTATTAGAATATGTATAAAACTCTGATTGTAGGAATAGTGTCCTATTTCTTTCAGAAAACTTATTGCCCCTAGGATATACTTGAACATTTCAATAAGTTTTTATTTAGTACTTAATTCATGTGGGGAGTTGAAATAGATGATTTAATACATTTCTTTATGCCCTTAAGAAGTTTAGAATAAAGCTACAAGTACTTATAAATACTCCAAAATATAAATAATGGCTTTGCTTGTGTAATGATACTATGGGTGATCTTTTTTTTCTGCTTTGTCCTATTTCTCAATTTAAAACAAACTAACTTCAATACATCAGGAAGGTGGTACTTTTAGAGTAAGGTGATACTTCAGAGTCTTAATTTCTCTCCCACTTTTTAAATTTTAGGTGCAGAATTTCATGTGTCACTGCTTTCAATTGCACAGCTATTCGATTTTGCTAAAAATCTGCAAAAGGAAATTTATGATGAGTAAGTAAAATAGTGGAAAGGTGGATATGGTTGTTCTTATTTTGTGGTAAGGGTTTGTGGTTGGATATTTACAAAGTGGGGAAGAAGATACCACACTAAATCTTTGGAGGGAAGCCTCGTTGTAGGACCATTGTACCATAGTAAATCATATTAAAAATATATATTCCTGAAGAAGTTGTTTGACTCACTACTGGCTTCCCTTGGAAAATACTTTGCCTTTATTCAAAAATAAGTAAATCCTATAATTTTTATAAAAATCTGTATTTCTGCTTTCCTGGCATGTCTTGTGTGTGTAAAATGAGAGTTGTACTCATGAATGTTTATTGTTGAGTTCTGCAGGTGACTTTATTTATTTATTTTTAATCCTCACCTGAGAATATTTTTCCATTGATTTTTAGAGAGAGTAGAAGAGAGAGGGGAAGACAGAGAAATATTGATGTGAGAGAAACACATTGGTTGGTTGCCTCTTGCACAAGCCCAGACCAGGGCCCGGGCCGGGGAGGAGCCTGCAACCAAGATATGTGCTCTTGACCAGAATCGAACCCAGTACCCTTTGGTCCACAGGCCAACGCTCTATCCACTGAGTCAAAACAGCTAGGGCACTTTATTCTTTAATTCTGGTTATATGGTTGTGAATTACTTGGAGCCTACCTGTGGGTACTTCACTCTGAGGTAGTACCCCTTCCTTTACAGGAGATAAAGTAGAATGTGGATCTGTTTTCTCTTTAGACAGCCTCAGGGTTTTGGTAAAGGATTAGATATTGCTTTTTCTCTGCCTTTATTTTAAAAATGCAAGAGCCTGGCTATATATACTAAGGTTCTCCAGGGCTCAAGGAGGATTGTGTCCTCATATCTCCCTGCTGATTTGACTTTGAGAGCTAACTTGAAAGTTAACACTGAAACCTAATAAATGGCGACAACTCTGATCATCCATAGACAAAATTTATACCGTGAGTGTGAAGGTAACCTGAAGAGCCTGTTTATGGTATCGGATTGTTAAAGGGCTGCCTTGGGTACATTTATAGAGCATAGGGAACTGTCTTGGATATCTGAATCAGTCTCCTGCCATAGGATTCATGCCAGTAAGCTGTTTTCCAGCCTTCAGGCTCTGCACACAGATGACCCTCTCACTTGGGATTACGTGGCACGGCGAGAATTAGAGATCCAGCCACAGCCAGGAGAAGAGCCGCCTGCGACAAAGCAAGCCCGAGCCCTGGAGATGGGCCGGAGGGAGGAGCGCTGCTGCGCTGTGTACGAAGAGGCAGTCCAGACTCTCCCTACAGGTGAGCCGCACCAAACCACGGTGCGGTGTGGAAGCGGTGGCGTTCATGACGGGAGACCCAAGCTCCCGTTCCCGTGACCAGGTCGCTTTCAGGAATCTCCGGTAGTCTACAGTGTACTTGGCTTTCCAACCTGTTCTTTCTCTGGTGGTGAAAGATGAAGGTTTTATGACCTTCCTTGACAGTAGTGATATATATATGTATGTATTCACTTATTTGGGGAAGTGATAATAGGAAGATTGTTTAATTATAATTCCTTAATTATCTTTTAATATAGATTACTTCCTAATTTTGTAATATTGAAGTATTAAGAGGGCATATATAACATGGTTTTCGATTTTTATATTTATGTCATTACTCAGTTGTTTTTTCCCCAGTGTTTGAGATGGTTTATTGGCTGTAATCAGAATAGCTATTCCCCTCCGCTCCCCCATGAGATTAGTTTAATCCCTTCTTCAGAGGAGTTTTCCCTTCAAAGGAAAGATGTATGATGATTGTTAAACTAAGAATTGGTGATTGATCAGTGGAATCTTTCTGACGTTTTCAGAGGCCATGTGGAAGTGTTACATCAGCTTTTGCTTGGAAAGATTTGCTAAGAAGACAAGTAATCGGTCCCTCAGAGGGCAGGTAAGGACATGGTCACAGGGCTGAGGAGAAAGTGACTACCTTTTGACAGAAGGACAGACTGTTTTGGGGCCTGGGACAGCTTCCAAGAAGCTCATGCTTATTGCTCTTTCTCCTTGAGTGACCTGTCATTCTGAAGGTCTGAGTCTGCTTTGCCCTTATCCTGGTCCCTGGGTCGGGAGGTGCTCTCTTGCTGGGCTGTGCTTGGGGCAGCTGTCCAGCTCATCTGATCATAAGTGAAACCACCTCGGTCCCTTCTCCCAGCTCTCATAAATGTGCGAAACTGCATTTGTTCCTATCAGAGGCCAGCAACCTCTGCTGGGATCTTTGTGATGAAGTGAGGCATTTTTCTGGTTCCAGAGGCTGGAAAGGACCATGACTGCATTCAAGAAGGCACAGGAACTCAAACTTCTACCAGAATTCCTCTACAAGCAGTGGGTAAGGACACCAACACATTCACTGCAATCATATGTGTTCAGTTCCAGTGGGTTCGTGCTGGTGCCATTGTGATACACATGGTATGTGACTAAGGCCATTTGGAAGTTTGGTATGTGGATGTAGAGAGTATTTACATTTGGCTCTCAGTGTTGGTTGTATGATAAAATGAAACCTGTACCAGTAAAGGGAAGAATGTTATAGAGCGGGAAACACTCAGAACCAGGAGTCACTGTTTGGGTTGGTTTGTCCACACTTCCATCTTTTACTGAACATGCCTTTCCTAGCTTTAGTCTAAATGCCTGGCCCAGGTTAAAACACATTCGATGTGTTCCCTCTGTTTCAGAAGCTGACATTCTAGTAGGAGGCATATTAACCCATTCCTACCCCCGGGTGGGTAAGGATTATTACAGAGACCAGAGTCATGTGCTTAGGAGTACATAGTTCTAGATCAGGTTTTGCCACTTAAGAGCGAGGTGACTTGGGCAAATCACTTAACCTTTCTGAGTTTGATTTTAAAATAGTGATAGCATTCCTTGTTTTTGCCATGTCACAGAGTTGTTGCGAGCATAACATGAGATAATGAATGTGTTAGTGTATTTAAATACCTTTGGAGGGAACAAAAGGACCAAAATCTTTATATTTGTTTAGTGCCTTTGATTTGTATAACTCCTGTTTCATATCAGCATACAATTTTTATATAATTACAACTAATGTTTTGCTATTTTGTATTCTATTATTTTTACATTAACATTCAAAAATACTTTCTACGTATACTTACATGGTGCATATCCTGTACAGTAGACTATTATATTATACCACTACTGAGGTGCCCTTCTCCCGCTATAGCATCTATCTGGCAAAAAGCCCAGACCTGGGTGAGTTCAGCTGCCCCAATTCGAGTTATTGAATGCTGGACAACAGTCCCACCCTGTATATCCAGATGGGCTTTGCTTTGAGTATTGTCTTGGCAGTCACACTCTGTCCTTATTGCTTATTTTGCCATTCACCACTCTGGCTATTTTAAACATCCTCTGCTCTCCAAATCTCTCATTTTGTTCTTCCTAACCCTATCACTTCATCGCTCATTCAGTGACCTTGCCTTTAATGAGAGTGCCTCAACATACTGCCGCTGAACTAAAATGCTTTGCTGATTTCTACATCCATCCTTTGTCCAGATGAATCCCCACCGAATGTTCTTTTAAAATTGATTATCAGATTATTCTGTGGCTTTCCACTGTCCTTTGGGTAAAGCTGCTCAGTGTCATTAATTTGGCCCCTGCCTGTATTTCCAGCCTCTTTTGCCAGCCCTGCAGTTTACATCCTACTCCTCCAGCCATTCTAAACTTGGATTTCCTTTTGTATCCAAGCTGTCTCTCACCTTCAACCTCTTGCATATGCTGCCTGGAATCTCTGCTTTCACTTGACTAATGCCTGCTTTTTCTTAAGTCTAAATGGTGCTTCTTTATTGGTTGGAGGCCTTTCTCATCACTGCCATAAACCATGCTTTATACTTCGATAGCAATGATGCTTTTTCTGTCATGGCACATATCAAATTGCTAGACTAGAGGCTCTGTGGGTGGTAGAGAATGCACCTGATATTCTCATGATTGAATTTAGCAAATACAGCATGCAATAAAAATCTTGCTGAGTGAATGGATTATATACTCCCCTTTTATTTGCTGTTTCACAGTTTTATAAAATTGAATTGGATTTAGGTTTTTTCCCCTTGTTAAAATAGTGTGTTGCCTGGCTGGCGTGGCTCAGTGGTTGAGCGTCGACCTATGAGTCAGGAGGTGATGGTTCGATTCCTGGTCAGGGCACATGCCCTAATTGTGGGCTCAATCCCCATTGTGGGGTTTGCAGGAGGCAGCTGATCAATGATTCTCTCTCATCATTGATGTTTCTATCTCTGTCTCTCTCTCCCTTCCTCTCTGAAATCAATAAAAATATATTTTAAAAAATAAAATAGTGTGGATACAAGCATTTTTGAACAGATTAGATTTCCTTCTATTGATATACTTTTGGGCTATATTTGTTAAAATATAATTCCCGCCGAAACCGGTTTGGCTCAGTGGATAGAGCGTCGGCTTGCGGACTGAAGGGTCCCGGGTTCGATTCCGGCCAAGGGCATGTACCTGGGTTGTGGGCACATCCCCAGTAGGAGATATGCAGGAGGCAGCTGATCGATGTTTCTCTCTCATCAATGTTTCTAACTCTCTATCTCTCTCCCTTCCTCTCTGTAAAAAATCAATAAAATATATATAAAAAATATATATATATAATTCCCAAGTATAAGTTACAAACACTTTTATGACTCTTGCTACATAATGCCAAATTATATTTTAGAAAAATTGTACCAGTTTATAGTGTGCTCAGCTCTGGTTGAATGAATAAACTTTTAGTTTCCTTACCAACCCACAAATACTGGTTTTATCTTTACTGATTTTTAAAAAAATAGATTTTTATTGATTTCAGAGAGGAAAGAAAAGGGAGAGAGAGAGAGAAACTTCAATGATGACAGAGAATCATTGATCGGCTGCCTCCTGCATGCCCCCTACTGGGGACCAGCCCACAATCTGGGCATGTACCCTGACGGGGGAATGGAGGGGTGACCTCCTGGTTCATGGGTTGACACTCAACCACTAAGCCATACCAGCCCAGCTCTTTATTGATTTTTATATTCTGTTTGGTGGATATGGGTTTTATTATAGTGAACTATTTTATTAAAAACTTAACTTTCAATCTAAATTATTTAGGCCTTCTAATTTTCACCTCTTCCCTATTTTTGGATACCACTTGGGAGTAGGAGCAGGGAATGGAGGAGGACTTGCAAATTGTTCACTTTGTGCGTGTTTGGCAGCCATAGTAAAAGGCTTAGTGGCAAGGCTGTTGAAACTATTGCCTCCTTTCCCCCCCATTACATAGATAATTTAGCTCTCAGTATTAATTTTCCACTGATCCTTTGTTTTATCTAGATTGAGCTGTTGCGGCAGCATGACTTCCTTAAGGAAGCTCTGCAGGTGGCAGTGGCCGGGATTGAATTGTTTAGAGACTCTGTGATGATGTGGCAGATGAAGCTGCAGGTGCTGATTGATTCCAAGAGCCCTGACATAGCCAGTCTTTTTAAAGAAGGCTTTGCGTCCCTGAAACCCCAGGTCTGTGAGTGTTTCATTCTGTTTGGGAAACCTTACAAGATTTCAGCCAAAGCATAGTTGGAGTGTACTTGTCTCGTGAGAGCTGGCCCTAGAGTATGTTTGTACTTGTCTCATGAGGGCTGGCCCTAGAGTACGTTTGTGATTTAAGGGTCAAGAGTAGAAAAATTTACTTCCATTTAATGGCCTATTTCTAATTCTTTATTTGGAAATTGACTATGTAAAATTTTATATTCCATCTAGATACCCTACAAGTGAGAAATATTAATAGTATATTCTCACTTGCTACAAAAGCTGAGCTTAAGCCTGATTTTTAAAACACGTGTATATTTCTAAACTTTAAAGTTTAACGGACTAAACCTTAAAGCTTTGCAGTGAATCTTTTATATTAGTAGGAAAAAAGTATTCCAGAAGTTAAAGTGGGAAAAAAATCTTACTTATTTTATTGCTCATATGCGTGTGCCTCTGAGACATGAGTGAAGGTTAAATAGTTCAGCCTAGATAATTAGTACTTGTGTTGTGGGCCCTAAAGAGCAGAGACCTCGGTAGGTATAGGTATGACTAGCTATCGGCTGTTAATTAACTAACAGATAATCAATTATAATAACTACTAGAGGCCCAGTGCACGAATTAGTGCACAGGTAGGGTCCCTCGGCCTGACCAGTGATCGGGCGGATAGAGGCCATCTCGCCCAGTCCCAATCAGGGCTGATCGGGGCCGGCTGGCCAGGGGAAGGGGTCCATGGGAGGTTGGCCAGCTGTGGGAGGTTGGCTGTGGGAGCACATTGACCACCAGGGGGCAGCTGCTGAGCATCTGCCCCCTGGCGGTCAGTGTGCATCATAGCGATTGGTCAACTGGTTGTTCGGCAGCTTAGGCTTTTATATATATAGATAGGCAACATTCCCCAACATAAGGGAACTAGAGTTAACAGGAGAGTATTGCTTTGGGTGACTTGTTTAGAAGGCTGTATTCTGGCATGTCATTCCTGGTCACAGAGGCTTCTATCAAAGCGAGGACAGAGTGGGAATGAATCCATGATTGTCTTAGGAGGAACGTGTCTTTATAGTGACTAGTTTTCAGAGTGTAGTGCTAAGCTCTCATTTCCTAACTTTTTTTTATTATGAGCAGGTTTGTCTGCCATTGTGGATTTCTTGGGCAGAGTGGTGTGAAGGTGCCAAAAGCCAAGAAGACACTGAAGCCATCTATAAGGTATAGGCCTGCTCTGAGTTTTGTAGTGGGTAGGGAATGAGCAGATAGGATTACTGGTTGGCTAGCTTTAGGGTTATTTCTATAGCAGCTCTTCCTAAAGCACTATTTATTGAGCAACCTGGGATGGCTCTGGGAAAATGGGTTTTGATATTTATAAATTTCCTCACACGGCTGTGTCTTTTTTTTGAATTGTAGAAAGCTATCTTAGCTGTCACGGGTGCTGACTCAGTCACTTTGAAGGAAAAGTACCTGGATTGGGCTTATCGAAGCGGTGGCAACAAAAAGGCCAGAGCTGTGTTTAAAAGGTACTCACAGATGTCCATAGCTGTACTGGTTCTCCACTCCGCACGCAGCTCCTCATACACGGATTACATGTGTCACAGATAGTATCTGAGGAAGTAGTCCCAGAGGCTTTTCAACAAGTTTTATTTATTTGTTTTTTTGAACAGTAAAAGCAAGTCATACCTATTATGAAAAAGAAGAAAAAAGAGATAACTAAGTATTCATTCTAATCCCTCCATCAAGAGAAAAACTCATGTTGCTATATCATCTTAAAATTTGTCACATATTTGAAATTATACTATAATTACATTTTATTTATCACTTTTATTGGTGAACATTAAGCCTGGCCTTTTCCCTATCATTAATAATTCTTCATAGACATTATTTATTAAAAATAGCTATATGATATTCCACTCTGTAGATGTGCCGTAAGTTATTTGGCACAATAATACTGCTTTGATGAACATTTCTGCACAAATATATCCATGTTGGAAACCATTACCCTGTAAGATATTCTTAGAAGTAGAATTATCGGTCTCTTTCAAAAGACCTTGGGATGTAGTAGAAGAGGGAACTTAAGACTCTGAAAGTGAGAAAGAACGGGAAGAAAGCCGGAGAGGAAAGAATTTGGTGGTGGTGAAGAGTATCATTGGAGATTGAAGCATTGAGTGACTGGTGGTTAAGTCCAGTCCTTGCATTGAATTGTGGGCAGATTCTTATTGAACCACGTTTTGTGGTGGCGGTGGCTATCATTATGGAGGATAACGGTGTCCCCTCTACTTTTTAGTTTACAGGAAAGCCGTCCATTTTCAGTTGCTTTTTTCAGGAAAGTAATCCAATTTGAAAAAGAGCAAGTAAGTGTTCTTATCTATTCATTTCTTGTCTGGGAAAACGGATTAGTGGTTACTAATTTATGGCAGCATTTTAATATTTAAAAAGCTCATTATAATACAATATAAATTTCTTGTCCCTTTGTCTAATCCCTTTTTTTCATAGAGATGGTTTAGAAATGGTAATCAGGCAAAGAAGAGAAAGTACCTCTCGGGAAATTGAATACTTAGATGTCACCGCTTATAGGAAGCCCTCCCTACCAGGCTGGGCGAGGCACTGTTTCTGCCTCCACAGCATCCTGTTTGTCTCTTGTATTGGGTTATGAGGTAAAGAGTAGGCACCCAGTAACTGCTTCTGATACATATATATATACATACATACATATATATATACACACACACACACACACACACACACACACACACACACATATTTGTTACTAATGTTGTGGCCCCACCCCATAACAAAGAAACAGAATTTCCGGAGGATGAGGCCCAGAAATCAGGATTTAAAAAAGATTCCCAGGTGATTCTAATGTGCAGCCAAGGTTGAGAACCACTGTGCTAGAGGCCAGGTATTCAAAAGGAAGACATCCCTAGCCATAGGGAGTAGAACCTTCTGCATTTATTTATTTCAATCCTACTCCTCCCCCAGGGCTTTCAAATATACTTTGCTGTGAAGCTTCCATATTCCTCTCACTGAGAACTAAGGCTTTTTCCATGCTACCAGGGCAAAGTGCTTTCTATCACTAACTTTTACTTCACTCTGGAAGTAAATGCGTATGACTTTTCTCTGAATAAGTTGAAAGCCAGGCTATGCTCATCTTAAGCCCCAACCCTCCTCTCCTTCAAGTACCTAATAGATGGTAGCAGTTTAACAATGTGTTTGAAATGAATTTGTGACATCATAAGTTAAGGTTTTGAGGCAAGACTGTCTGATTATTTTTGTTAGGAATCCTGCAAAATGGCGAACTTGAGAGAATATTATGAGAGGGCTTTGAGAGAGTTTGGATCTGTAGATTCTGGTAAGTAAACTTTAGCTATAGACACAAAAGTCTGTTTGCATGTGTGATATGTAACCTATCAGTGTGGTTAGAACAAACAGTGTTTTTTAACTTTTGGGTCATGGCCCTCTTTGAGAATAAAACTTGCATCCTTGCCCTGCCTGTTCCCTCACTTGGTACATAAGTACTGCAGATAAAACTTTACTTATAATTTCAAGTTCACAAGCTCAAGAGTCCATAGGTCTTCTATTAATTCTTGAATAGAGGAAGATTTGATTGGTTTGTTCTTTTAAAAATGTGGCATTTGTAAGGGAAAGGTTAATAATGTGGTCAGAACAAATAGGAATGGGAGTTATAGTAAAGGGGTGGTGGCACGCTAATTGACGTTAGTTGTCAATGACTGTTGCCGCATTGTCCTCATGTATAGGACTTGCAAACCATACTTCTGGGTGTAGGTATGGCATGTAAATTCGCACTCAAAAACTGACATGTATAGTTGTTAAATCCACATTTTAAAAAATGCATTAGTTCTTAAGAGGTTTCAACAGACCTTCTGATGGAGTGCATGAAAAAACTTGTTTACTAACCCAAACAAGTTTTGTTAAGCATGGTAACAGGGTTATAGTGAACTCATTGAGGTCAGTTTCACCTTGAAAGAGACTCAACAAAATTCTGCCTCCAAAATATTTAGTCTATTTGAGTTTGTAAAATATATAGATTACTATGATTAAAGTGAAGTTTTCTACTTAAAAAAATAGTTTTGTTATATCTAGTGTAAAGATGATGAGAGAGGTATTGTTTCACATAGGGTTCTATGGAAATCACAAGAAGTTAAATTTCTTAGAAATCTTGTGGTACATTGATATTAAATAATTAAGTTTACCTAATAGAGCCGTGTCCTTTATCTAATTATATGTTTATAGTAAGTTTTTGGTTCCCTTTCAAGATCTTTGGATGGATTACATCAAAGAAGAATTGAACCACCCCCTTGGTAGACCTGAGAACTGCGGACAGATCTATTGGCGAGCCATGAAAATGTTGCAGGGAGAGTCAGCAGAGGCGTTTGTAGCTAAACATGCTATGCATCAAGCTGGCCATTTGTGAAAAGAGGAAGACCACAGCCAACCTTGTAAAATAGTATTGTGAGCCCTCTGGGCAGGTTTTGTTAGGAATTCGTCTGCAATTTGCAGACAGGATTTGTTAGGAATTCGTCTGCAATTTGCAGACAGGATTTTGAGATATGTTTTAATTTTGTGTTAATCTTTAATTCCAGGAAAGAGAACTGCTGTTTCGTGGTCAGAGGCTACTTGTTGAGGCTGGATCTACTGTAGGGTCTAAATGTTTTCCAAAATATGTGGAAATCACACACTGATTAGAGTATCTCTAATCTCAACCTTGGGGTGGGTTGAAATTTGGAAAAAGTTCAGTTCTGTTTGTTTATTCTCTCCTTTTATAAAAGTATACATGGTATGCATCTCTTGCAGAAAATATGGTGAGAATAGAATAATGGAAAGAAAATAAAAGTATCCTGCCATATCATTTGGAGTTAAACTTAGTAATTTGATTTCTTTGATCAGAATTGGATTTATTCTCTTGGATCACTCATTCAGTCATTCCTAAGCAGGAAAGAAGGGAAGCTCTTTGGGATGGAGGTAGGGGTTGGAGGAACAGAGCTGGATGTCCTGAGAGCTGGCTGAAGTAGCAGAGAAGGATGCTGGGTATTGAGGAAAAGTCCTTGAAGAAGATTAAGACATTATAAAACTGTCTTCTGTCACTGGGACTGATCTGCAGAGAAATGTTTACTGTGGGGAAGGCCTGGCAACCAAAGGGCAGGCCAAAGGGAGTAGATTAGAGCTTCAGAAGGACTTCAAAGGCGATGATGGAGGATGGCTTGGAGCAGAGAAGGGCATTCTGGGAGCAGGGGAGGCAGTTGGTATTTTATATTTTTATCATAATGTCACTGGGAAAAGCATTCAGTATAGTTTACTTGTTTCACTTAATGGTTTTAAAATAGCCTTAAAAACATTGAATTTATAGTATTCCTTCAAATAGATGAGCCATTACTTATTTTATTAATCCCCTGTGGCTGGCCCTTGTCATTTGCAATTTTTTTAAAATTATAAATGCTGTTAATAAAGATTCTTATCTTTTTATATCTCTGGTTATTTGTTTAGTAGATTGACATCTGACAGAATTATTAAAGGATATAACTTTTTAAAGGAATATTATGAATTGCCAATTTGCAATTTATGAAAATACTTCAAGCAATGTATGAAAATGTCAGCACTTTCGGCTGCAGTGGATATTTTATATTTTTTATTTTAATAGGTGAAAAATGACATGTGCATTTCTTTGACATTAATGAAAGTGTGTTTTTCCTGGTTCTCATCTTACAGTTTTTGACAGTTTTTTGAACTTTTTTCTTCCTAATCTGTAAGAGTTATTTATATATTAAGAACATTAACCTTTAGTTTGTTTCTCCTTTATTGCAAATAATTTACCCCAGCTGTTTTTTTTAGTGTGTGTGTGTGTGTGTGGTGTGTTTTTTTTTTGACATCCAGAGATGTGTTTTTAAGTGTGTGATTTCTGTTAACTTTTTTGTTTTGTTAATCCTCATGAGAGGATATTTTTCCATTGATTTTTAGAGAGAGTGGAAGGAAGAGGGAGAGACAGAGAGAAACATTGATGTGAGAGAAACACAATGATTGGTTGCCTCCTGCACAAGCCCTGACCAGGGCTGGGGATTGAGCCTGCAGCCGAGGTATGTGCCCTTGACTGGAGTAGAATCCAGGACCCTTCAGTCTGTGGGCTGGTGCTCTATCCATTGAGCCAAACTGGCTAGGGTGATAACCCTTTTTATTTGTGGCCATTTTTCTCAGTTGATGTGTGGTAATACCTTTATCATGTATTAAATTCCTATGAATATTAGCATCTGTTTTAGGGCATTTTCATTTTGAGCTTTTGCACTGTATATGTTTACTTGTCATTTGTTTTAAAATAAGAAAAAATTTCTTTTTCCCTCTTATTAAGTTTGGGGATGTTTATCATTCTAAATCCTTGCGTGGCAGTTTTATTTTAGGAAAGAGATATATGTTGCATGTAAGAGGGTGGTGGTTGGCTTCTTATAGCAAGGCTATGAAGGTGGTTTCCCCGGGGTTATTATAGCCCTATGTCTGGTTCTCACCATTGCAGGTTATGGAAATGCATTTAGCTAGTTCACTTGGAGTTGTACTGTTAGATATGGTAGTTTCTAGCTACAGATGGCACTTTAAATTTATTTATTTATTTATTGGCACTTTAAATTTATTAAATTTAATTCAGTTTCTCACACTGGCAACATTTCAAGTGCTTAATAGCCATATGTTTACCATATTGGACAGCATGGATAATAGAACTTTTTCATTCCCACCATCACAGCAGGTTCTTTGGGATAGAGTTGAGGTAAATAAATCCAGTTAGATTTGAGGAAACTGAGTCATGGGTCAGAACAGAGTACATATTAATCTGCCACATTCTCTTCCCTGTGGGAAAGAAAAATACATATCAGCTGTTACACTAATTGAAATGCCTTGCGCAGTTTACAAACAGTACCTCCTTTGAAGGAGATGAGGGAATGGGCTCTCTGATCTCTCAAAGATTGATTAGGTGTCCTGGTAAGGAAGGAATCCCAGTTTATAGCTTTCCTGCCACCTAGATGTTAACGGGATTGGTCTGTTAGAGTTTAGCAGTGTGGGTGGGGAAGAGCACTGAAGGCTGACCTTGCCTATCTTCTGCAGCCTTCGGGGTGTGCAGGGCCAGGCCGGAGCGTTAAAAAGAGCTGCTCTCAGGTTAGACTAGGGTCAGCCCTGAATGTTTAGGGTTACTGTGACTGCCGTAGCCCATAGGCTGTGTCCAGTGCATTGTCGGAGTTTGTTTTTATCATTTGTCCCGGTTTCTAATGGCCTAACTTTAACTGTCATTAACTCAAGGTGGAGAATCACCACAGGGCTGCTCAGTGGACTCCCCCATCTGTAGGCGAGTGACAGCCGAATCCAGCCTGAGCTCCGAGAAGTCTGTAAGATCAGAAGTGAAATGCGGTTGGAGCTACAGTTGCCGAGTGGACCCGGGTGGCAGGGATGGGAGGTTGGGAAGCTGGTAGGGATGACCCTTGATATTCCAGACTCAGTCCTGGGACCCCCATGGGCCGAGCTTCCAAAGTCAGACTTGGGGCGGGTAGGTGGGCTTTCGCCCCGGGCGCGCCCCGCCCCTCCCGCGCCGCCCCGCGCCGCCCCGCCCCGCCCCCGGGTCCCTCGTGACCCCGGGTCCCGCCCCCTCGGCCGGGGCACCCCCGGCTGATTGGCCCTCCGCGGCGTATCCTCGGGCTCGCAGCCAGGCTGGCGCGTCACGTGGCCGCGCGGCGTCCAGGGCGCGGAGCCGCGGGCCGCCGGGCATGGACCCTCAGACCGCCCGGGCCCTGGCGCTGGGGGCCGCGGAGCCGCCTCGGGGTCTGCCGCTGGCGAGCGCGCGGGAGTCGCCCCCCAGCCCCGAGGTGAGCGCGGCGCCGGGCCGGGCGCGGCCACCACCTGCGTCCGGGGCGGGAGCTGCGGGGCCGCGGAGCGGGGGAAGCGCCTCGGGCCGCCGCGCGAACGTTGAGCGCGCGCTCGAGGTGGAAACGGCCGGGCCGGCGGGCCGCGGGGCTGGAGACACCCCAATGCGTGGGTGGGCGTGCGGGGCTGGAGGCACCCCGAATGCCTGGGTGGGCGCGCGGGGCGGGGAAGCAAGGCCTCGGTCTCCTAGTCGCCCCCGCGTCCTCGCTACATGGGAGGTGATGCTGATGGCCGAGAGCTGGGGGCGGCCGTGGAGGGCCTGCACGGAGGCCAGATGAGGGTGACGGGGCCCGCAGGGGGCCAGATGAGGGTGACGGGGCCCGCAGGGGGCCAGGTGAGGGTGGCGGGGCCTGCGCGGGGCCAGGTGAGGGTGGCGGGGCCTGCGCGGGGGCCAGGTGAGGGTGGCGGGGCCTGCGCGGGGCCAGGTGAGGGTGGCGGGGCCTGCGCGGGGGCCAGGTGAGGGTGGCGGGGCCTGCGCGGGGCCAGGTGAGGGTGGCGGGGCCCGCAGGGGGCCAGGTGAGGGTGGCGGGGCCTGCGCGGGGGCCAGGTGAGGTTGGCGGGGCCTGCGCGGGGCCAGGTGAGGGTGGCGGGGCCTGCGCGGGGCCAGGTGAGGGTGGCGGGGCCCGCAGGTGGCCAGGTGAGGGTGGCGGGGCCTGCGCGGGGCCAGGTGAGGGTGGCGGGGCCTGCGCGGGGCCAGGTGAGGGTGGCGGGGCCTGCGCGGGGCCAGGTGAGGGTGGCGGGGCCTGCCCGGGGCCAGGTGAGGGTGGCGAGGGGAAGAGACTTTTCCCGAAGGACCTGCGTCCACTGGTGGGGATGCTCCGCCGACAGCACCAGGTGATGTCTCATGCGCTCGCTCTCCTATTCAACGAAAAGCAAAGGCTTGTTTTGACGCAGGGTTTCCAGAAACTTGTTTCCATTGGCGCGCGCGACAGCTCCTGGTTTTCCCAAGGCCGTTATTACAGCCACAACCTGCCCTTGTTTGCAGTCAGTAACCTCTGCGAGATGGCGACCTCCTGGAGGATAGAAACCTTGTTAACTGCTGTTAAGCCTGGCGTCTAGCATGGTGCCCGACACGATAGACACATTTATTAATTGGTTGGAGGAATGGCATGGCGTGTTTAAGCATGAAAGGTAGTACGTAACCAAAGTAAGAAAAATGTAGTGTTAAGACTTACAAAGAAAATTACTTTAGAGTGCAGGTGGGATGAGATTAATTTTGTCAGGGCATAGCAGCAAGGGCTGTGCGCTTCCTCTCCAAGGTGAGGGGAGGCGCCGAAATGCAGGGCAGACCCCTGTGAGCCTGGGTCGCAGAGCTGGGAGAGAACTATGCCCAACAGGTTGAGGGGCTGAGGGAGGGTTGTGAATGCCATGGGTAATGTTATGCTTCCCTTGTGGAGTTGAAGATTATTTTTTTAATCCTCACCCATTGATTTTTTCCATTGATTTTTAGAGAGTGGAAGAGAGAGGGAAGGACAGAAATATCGATGTGAGAGAGACACATCGATTGGTTGCCTCCTGCATAAGCCCTGACCAGGGTCCAGCCAAGGGAGGAGCCTGCTACTGAGGAGCGTGCCCTTGACTGGACTCGAACCCAGGACCCTTCAGTCTGCAGGCGGATGCTCTATTCAGTGAGCCAAACTGGCTAGGGCGAGTTGAAGATTTTTGAGGAGAGGAGTGATTAATAGCGTATGGTGGGCAGGGTGGGTGAATGGGGAGGCAGCTATGGAGTCAGGGCAGTGGTCGAAGTGAGAGGTCCCACCAGCTGGCCCATACTGGTGACCAAGGGTTGTCACTGACCACAGGAGGTGGAATTGATGCTTTAAATCCAGGTGTGACTAGATCGTGAGCTACGTGGGGCAGGTGCCAAGGGCAAAGAAGGTTGGGCTTAGAGTCAACAAATGTTACATTCCTGCTATGCTAGGTGTTTTCATAAATGTTAGGTCATTATAAGTCCCTGGCAGGGTCAGAACCATCACCCTCAGTTTCCAGAGAAGGAAACCCAGGCAGAGTGTTCACACTGAATGAATGGCAGAACTGGGATTGAAATGAGGTCTTCAGCAGGCTTCACGTTTCTTGTTCCAGTGAGAAAGAGGTTTTAGAGGTGGTAGGACTTTAGGAACTTTTTAAAAATCCTCACCAAGGGTATGTTTTTATTGATTTTAGAGAGAGAGGAAGGTGGGGGAGGGGGGAAGAAAGAAGAAATGTTGATGCGAGAGAGAAACATTGATCCATTGCCTCTGGTACGCCCCAAACTGGGACTGAACCTACAACCAAGGTATGTGCCCTGATGGGAATCAAACCTACAACCCTGTTTAAAATGTTTTTTTATTGATTTCAGAGAGAGGAAGGGAGAGGGAGAGAGGGATAGTAACATCAATGATGAGAGAGAATCATGATCTCCTTCCTACTGTGCACCCTCTACTGGGGATCAAGCCTGCAACCCGGGCATGTGCCCTGGCCAGGAATCGAACTGTGACCTCCTGGTTTATAAGTTGAAGCCCAACCACTGAGCCACACCAGCCGGGCCCACCCTCAGCCTTTTGATGTATGCAATTTTGCTCCAATCAACAGCCGTCTGGCCAGGGCAAGACTTCAGGAACTTTTGAGTGGTGAGAGCAGAGAGGCATGTGGTTGGCTGTGGGGAAAGATTTCCCTCAGCATTGCACCCGTGTATCAGTCAGGAGAAAGAATTTGATAGAAAAAGTTGTTAGCTGCCCAGCCTGTGTGACTCAGTAGTTGAGTGTTGACCTATGAACCAGGAGGTCACGTTTCAAGTCCCGGTCAGGGCACATGCCTGGGTTGCGGGCTCAGTCCCCAGTAGGGGGTGTGTATGAGGCAGCTGATCAATGATTCTCTCTCATCATTGATGTTTCTATCTATCTCTTGCTCTCTCTCTGAAATCAACATATGTAAACTAGATAAGAAGTTGTTAAAGTAACCAAAAAGTTAAAAATGAACATGGTGGTGGAAGCTGCAGGAAACAGCTACCAGCCCTCTGGCTGAGGGAACAAAGGGATGAGGTTGGAATGGTTAAAATGTACAAGCTCAGAGGAGAGACTTTGCAGAGCTGGAATTCCAGCCTTAGAGGAGGGGGCGTGGCCCCAGTTAGGGCGGCGGGGGGTGGGGGTGGGGGTGGGGGTGTCTCTTAGCTTGGAGGGTCCTGAGGGCCTGGGAGTCAGACCTCTGTAGGTAGGGCAGGGTGATGAGGCTGGCTTTGCGAGTGTTGGCAAGCTGTAAGCTGGGTTCCTAGGCCGCTATAGGAAGGTTGCTCCTGCTTCCAGGTTGAAGTGTCGCTGGAATGATGCCTCAGGAGTAAGGAGGCGCAAAGCTCTTCCCCCTCCATCCTTGCTGAGTCTAACCAGGCAGAGCAGAAGTGGGGGTTGCAGAGTCTCAGCCCCCCACACAAAGGGGAGGAGGGATGGGGGGTTTCAGCTGAGAGAAAGCTGACAACGGGATGCCCCAGGTGTCCAAGTCCTGAATAATTGTTTCTTCTCCTGGCAGGCTGGCTTTGCCCCGCATGACCACTCCGGTCAGGCGAGAGAGACTGAGAAAGCCACGGATCGACTAGGCAAGTAGACGGCAGAGGCTGGGGCGAACGTTGGGAGAGACTGGGGGAGCGACAGGACAGTCGCTCTGTCTTGTTTACCTTCTCCTTCCAGCCGGTCCTCCTCTTGGCTGCCACGTCACCTTTTTTCTGCGGGTGTTTCCATAGTGCCCTGTTTGGAAGCCCTACTCAAGCTTTCTTAAGGGAAGTTCTGAACTTGTGTCCAAACCCGTCCCTTCTACTGAGAAAGACAGCTTAGGGAAGCAGGAAGAATATAGGCTTTGGAGGTAAAATTGTTTCCACTTTCAATATGTTTTTACTGATTTCAGAGATGAAGGGAGAGGGAGAAAGATAGAAACATGAATGATGAGGGAGAATCATGGATGGCTGCCTCCTGTGCGCCCCCCCATTTGGGATCAAGCCCGCAATCAGGGTACGTACTCTGACCAGGAATCGAACCTCGACCTCCTGGTTCGTAGGTCAACGCTCCACCACTGAGCCATGCAGGGTGAGCTCCTTTTTTTGTTTTTAAAAACTCTCACAACAATCATATCTCCATTTTGCAGGTGAGGAAACTGAGGCACAGAGTAAAAAAAAAAAAAATTGGTTCTGGTAAAAGACACAACATAAAATTTACTATTTAACAAATTTGAAGCATGCAGCTCAGTGGCATTCGGCACAGTCACAGTGTTATGTGACCACCACCGCTATTTAGTTCCAGAACATTTTCATCACCCCAAAAGGAATGTATCCAGTGAGGAGCCACTCCCCAGCCTCCCCTTCCTTGTGCCCTTGGCGACCACTAGTCTGCTTTCTGTCTCTGGATTGACCTCTGCTCAGCAGGCAGATGTGAGTTGCATGCAAATGAATCATCCGCTATGTGGCCTTTTCTGTCTGGCTTCTTTCAGCATAATATTTTCAAGATTAATTCACGTAGCCTGTATACCTTGGACAGGCATACTTCGGAGACGTTACAGGTTTAGTTCCAGACCATGGCAATAAAGCTACTCTTGCAATAAAGCTAGTTGTAATCTTTGTGCTGATAGAGGGTTTTGCCTTCAATTTATTACAAAACACACCACATCTGTGAAGTGCAATAAAGCAAAATGCCATAAAATGAAGTATGCCTATACTTCATTCCTTTTGATGGCTGAATAAATCCCCTCATTTGTATAAACCCAATTTTGCTTACCCATTCATCAGTTGATAGGCATTCGGGTGGTTTCCACCTCTTGGTGATTGTGAGTAGTCCTGCTGTGAACATTTTTGTACAAGTTTTGTTTGAACACCTGTTTTTAATTCTTTTGGGTATCCATTGAGGAGTGGGTTGTATGTTAATTCTATATTTAAGCTATTGAGGGAATCAGTTGAGTACATTTCAGCTCAGTAACACATTTGGTAATTGGCAGAACTGGGATTTGGACTCAGGCACTTTACCTTCAGAGCCCATAACCTGAAAGTACGACTTTATTGCTTATAGCTGTCATTATTGTGCAGTGTTAATCGGCTGATTCATTTGCTAGCTCTGACCGGGCATCACCATAGCCCTATATGCTTGGAGGTTCATTATCCTTCCCAAACGTCCCTCCATTATGTTGAGACCTTTTGAAAATGTACCTTCCAGCCCTCTCAATGTTGGGGGGAGGAGACGTGGTGGCGGTCCATTGTGACCAGATGGGTTCTGCCCTGCTGTCAGCCTTTATTCTCATCCCGCTTGTCCTGTGCTCACTTCTCACATGCTCTTTGAGGATGAAGGGACGAGGAATAGAGGAGCAAAAACTCAATTCGCACCTGTATTGTGAAAGTTGATCATTTGTTTTAATGACATGTAAGTTACCTACAATGTAAATTGTGCCCGATTCCCTGTGTGAATTGCCAGACCAGGCAATTAATGGCCTGGTTTAAGGCAAAACATCCTATTGTAAATAATTGATCAGCCCTACTTCTAAAAATGTCAATAGAACATTTTCTTTTTTTTTTTTTTTTTTTTTAAGTGCTCAGGTGGCTAAAGAACTCTGCACACTTGTTTTACTGCTGCCTTCTTAGTAAGTCTGCCAAAAATTTCCAAGCACAGGAGTAGGTGCTCTGGTTTGCTGGTTGTTTTAAGACCTTCCTTTTGTTGATTTCTTAGCCAGTGGAGCACAGAGCATCCCTAATGGTGGTCCTGCCGGTGATGAGGGCACCCATTCTGAAGAGGAAGGCTTTGCTATGGAGGATGAAGATTCTGATGGGGAACTGAATACCTGGGAGCTGCCAGAAGGGGTGTCCAGCCGCCTGCCTAGGGAACAGGCTGCTGATCTTTTTAGTGAGGACTGGGACTTGGAGTTGAAATCGGATCAAGGGAATCCGTATGGTAGGTGTGGAGTGTCTGGGGTCCTAGGCCAGGGTTTGAGACCCTCCTACCAGATTACCCTTAAAGGCAGGCAGAGTTTGGAAGAGGGACTCACATTGGCTAGCTTAGCCTGATAACCTGTTACAGATCTACAGTTTCTGTGACAGCTTCTTTTTCATATTGGGAAAAAACCCCACACACATGCAAATTTTACATTTGATTCCATAATGGTCATTTACCTTTAACATTGAAACAATGTTACTCTCTCCAAATATCCTAGTATGTACTGAGCAGCTGCAGACAGAAGTGCCTTATCCATTTGCTTCCTCGGCACTGTCAAGAACTCTTAGCTGAACAGCACAACCATGGGTTGCCTCAGAAAGAACATGCTTGCAATTCCTCAGGAAAGGAGGACTGTGTGTGTGTGTTTAAACAGAGTGCAAGTATGGTTCTCCTAGACATTTCTTGGCTATTCTTTTTTCCTTCCCTTCTTCCTTTAATCCGGTGGTTCCCAAAATGGGGCACATGCCCCACAGGGGGGCAATTCGAGAATGAGTTATTAATGTGAATTTTTTTTCATTTCTTATGGTTATAGGGGGCCTCCTATACAGTATAGAAATACATATTTTGACATTTATGCATTTCAGTTTTTTGAAACTTTATTTGCTTTTTTTCATATCACTTCATATTATTATTATTTTTAACAACTTAGTGATTTTTTCCTCAGTTCTTCAACTGTCCTTTTGTTCTTTTATTTTTCTCTTTCATGGATGCCATGTTCTTGGGAAGCCTTTTTATACCAAGTTAATGACCTTTTAGGCCTCCTCCATGTGAATAGGCGTTCACTTTTTGAATGATAAGAATTATATGTCCTGGGGAGGCGGGCATCAGGATTTTAAGAGATGCTTAGGTGGGGCATGGCCAAAAGCAGTTGGGAACCACTGCTTTAATCTGTCTTTTAAAAATTCCTGCAGATGCTGATGACATCCAGGGCTGCATTTCTCAAGAGGTCAAACCTTGGGTGTGCTGTGCCCCGCAAGGAGACATGATCTATGACCCCAGTTGGCATCATCCACCTCCACTGATACCCCATTATTCCAAGATGGTCTTTGAAACTGGACAGTTCGATGACGCTGAAGACTGAGGGTACAGCTTTTTGCCTGCCAAGTACATGGGTCTTCAAGATGAAGGTCTTTCTTCTTTTCTTTGAGGTGAGATGTCATATCTGAGGAGACATTCCCAGTGATTCCTGAGCCAGGCACACAGACTGGTGTTAAATAAGGTCCCACTGCCCCCTCGTTCTGTTGTTGTTGTTTTTCATGAATGTGTTACCTCTTTAGATGTGTGTTTGTTTCTGCGTTAGGAGGAGGAGTTGTGTTCTTTATAAATAAAGGTAGAAAAAAAAAATCAATGTGCTTTTGTCTACTTTTCGCCCCTCGCAACCCCCCATTTAATTAGATACTTCTGAGAAAAGTCTTATTCCTTCATGTAAAACCCCATTTAAGGATGGGAGTACTTGGAGCCTTAAAACTGCTCTGTGAAAGAAAATACTCTTTCAGGTTTGCTTCTGTAGATCTGGCACATTGGCCAGGGATTGGAATCCAAGAAACATTGGTGACTTTGTGGCTGATTTCTTTTCCTCCTGATGGAAAATTGACCATTTACTTAGTCAACAAGGACTTTCTGTAGGCTGGAAAATTAAATGGCAAATTAAACCAGCACTTGTATAACCCTCAATTGGCCTAAAGGATTTTAAAATTGTTTTCCATGTCATGTTCATTGCTTACAATTACTAAACGAAGTCACTATTTAAAAAAAAAAATTCACTTCCTTTTAGAGATGAAGAAAATAAGACTCAAAATGTTGACCTCGTCATTATCACACAAGCAGGAACTGGCGGAGCTGGGACCTAACCCCACGGGTGACGTGACGGGAAGCCTGTTCTCTGGGTGGCCCTGTGTGTGTGAGAGCCCAGGGGCGGGGCCTGGGCCATGCCATGGCCGGTCCGCGATGCATGGGACTAAGGCACCTTTGCCTTTTTGGCAGGCTGAGGGATTGCTTCTCACCTCCCTGCCTTCCTACTGAAGCTGAATCAAGAAAAAGTTTCAGATCTGAAGTCTGAGTCCACTCCACAGCAGTCAAATGAACATTCAACCATTTCACCTATTTTTTTCAGAGGCGCCACAAAGTACGAACAGAGCAGGACCTTATGAGGAAAGGCAGTGGTTTTGACTGAGGGGACTCACGGCCAAGGCTGTCCCAGGGAGACGAAGCGTTCCTCCCACTGGCCTTGCTGAAGGGACCATCGCAGACCCTGTCCCCACTCTGCTCTCCTCCCAGTGCCGAGCTGGCGAGACGGGTGTGAATAGGAGGATGTCTGGCGTGACAAGGTGACCTTGAGAAACTGATAGAATTGCTAAATGGAAAGGTTGTGTTATTGATGGGTTCCTTTGGCCCATGTGTAAACTGAAACAGTAAAAAAGCAGGAGTCACGCGGTGAGGAGAAGAGGGAGGGAAGAAAATAGTCTGAAAATCGCCCGTGCGTAAGTAACGGCAGAGAGTGTGCACAAGCTGCTGCTGCTGGTCCACGGAGCAGAAGTGGGTCTAGAACTCTCTTCCTTTTTAGAAATGAGTCTTTGTGGTTTCTCTTCCTGGTTATTTTCAGCAAAGCAAGTGGGAGGGAAGTGGGGTCTACTGGAGCAAGGACCTAGGAAACTATTCTTTTAAGAGTTAAAAATAAAAGCAACCCTGACTGGGTGGCTCCGTTGGTTGTAGTGTCGTCCCGTACACCAAAAGGTGGTTCGATTCTTGGTCAAGGCACATGCCTAGGTTGTGTGTTCGATCTGTCAGGGCATATGTGAGAGGAAACTGATCAATGTTTTCTCTCTCTCTCTGCCTTCACCCATCTCTAAGAATAAGTGGAAATATATCCTTGAGTGAAGATTAAAAAATAATAAAATAATAAAAACAAGGGCTTTTATGGCTGAACATTGAGTATGTCAGGAGAACAAGAAAAGGTGGGAGAGGGGGGAGGTTAGTCAATTATTCTGATATCGCTATTGTTCTAGTGTCCCCAGTAGGATTAATCAAGCATAGAGAAATATATAGAAAAATAATTGCCCAGGCTGTGAACATTGGTTATCTGAAGGGGGTAAGGTAGGAGTAAGGAGAAAAGGCGGTGAAATGGGAAAATATTAATGACATGATAAATGAAAATACAGATCGTAGAACTCTGATAATGTTGCAGATACGGACAGATGAAACAATTTGGTTAAATGGTGGAGGTGGAGGCAGTTTGCTTTTATATTTTTGTTATTTTAATACAGATTTTGCAAGGAGGTATTTAAAATAAAGGCAAGATGTTAGTCATCCATAGAGCTGCCTCCTCTGCCTGGTCTTCCCTGCTCTCTGACAGGCATCCCACTCGCCTTCCCACTCTGCTGCTGTCACGGTTTAAGCGTCTGCCTCCCTCTTCAGGGCAAGAGCTCTGCACGTAGGGCCACGTCTTACTCCTCAGCATCCCTGTTTCAGGACATGGATGGAGCCCAGCAGGACACTGTTCGGTAACTGCTGGCACAAACCTGCAGTAATGGTGCACCATTTGCCTTGCTGCACGGGGTGAGCAAAAGTAGGTTTACAGTGGTGAGGACTCGAAACACAGAGTTTATTCCTGTATTATTAATTATTGTATTTTCCGTACGAAGAACTATAAGCCTACTTTGGCACACCCTCATATTTTCGGTTGAACATCCCAGGCCGGTGATGAATAAAGTATTTGAAGAACCTTTAAGAAGTCTCTGTTACATCTGACTGGGATTTATTTAGGATTCCTTTTCTATTAAGTTATTATTTTTGAAAATTGTGTAGGAATAGAAGAGGAAGAAATGTCTGGAAGCAGTGAGCTTTGCAACCGTGCTTTAATCTGAAAGCCTTTATTCAATGACCAAGTGGATTGTTCTCTACAAAATAGAGTGTGTGTAGCCTAGCCAGCGTGGCTCAGTGGTTGAGCATCGACCTGTGAACCAGGAGGTCACAACAGACCACAGCAAAAATCTTGGGTGACTGTAAAAGATTAAAAATGTGTTTATCCAGTGTGGCTGGGGCCCTCTGCTCATTGCATTCGTGGAGGCAAGCGACAGGGTCGAAAACAGTTAAGAAGTCTTTCTAGCTTTTGTTTAAAAAAATATATATATATATATATATTTTAAATAAGGAAGCAATGAGTTTTATGCCATCAGATTATGTGTCTTGAAGACATTTGGAGGGAAAGAAAGTTCCCCAGGTCAACTCCCCATCCTCCCCCCCCCCCCCAAACAAACACACAAAACCCGGTAGGAGAAGAAAGATTTGAAGAAGGAGACACCTGGGGATGCTAAGAGCAGAACCAGTGTGAGCCCTGCTTCCTGGTGTGTCCCTGGGGGTGGAGTCCTAAGACGGATAGAAGTTGGAGCTTCCAGGCAGTCGGGACCGTCTCGCAAAAGATGCCCAAGCCCTGAGCCTGCAGAGAGCCTGGCAGACCCTGAAGATGGACACTGGGCGAACTGGTGTCCACCCCACCTGCCTTGGCTCTGCATGCGGAAGCGAGGAGAACCCCGAAGGCCGCCTGGATGGAAGTGTGGGGTCAGGAACTAGGATGGTCAGAGGGAAACACACTTCTGTTTCTTGAACCTCCAAGGTAGAAGAGATGCCCCGTTATCAAGCAAGGATGGGAACCAGTTCCTGCCGGGGCCAGGGGACAGATCAGCTAGGTAACGATGGTGTGTTTTAAGTATCATCATGGTTGCTGATTTTTTCTTTTGCTTTTCTATCTGGACAAAAAACTTGCAGTTTTTGTTCTGTGGCAGAATTGCCATTCAAGTTCCTGTGGGCAGTTTTGTGTGTTTTTGATGGCTGTAGCATGTTTCTGTCTGTTAGGACTTTCTTCCCTTTGGGAAATTGTGGGGAACAAACCTTTTTACCCCCCTCCCCCCCAATTCGCTTGGTGCTGTTGATGGTGGGGGTAGCTTGGTCACCGTGAGACCCGAGGTGGGTCTGGTGGGCAGCACTTCTTCAGACTTCGCTCTCAGACGCTAGCGTGGCTGGTGGGTTGAGTGTAGGGTCTGCGGAGACCACTCACTGTCTCCATGTCCAGGAGCAAGTGGCTGGACTCAGCCAGGCCCCGCGGTGCCGCGGGCACTGAGCCCGTCTTCCAGTGCCAGAAGCACACTCACTGGCGAAGGAAATGCCTTGGCACTGCCGCCCTTGGCGTCCCAGAGTTTGCTTTCTGGGGCCCAACTTCTCACAGAGTGGTTGGAACATGGAGAAGAGGGAAAACAAAAACAAACCCAACCCTGGCTGCAGCCCGTCTGGCTTCTGCTTCCCAGTCTTCCCAGAACAGATTCCCACCCAAATAGCCGAGGATGCTGGAGCTGGAGGACTGTGTGTGTGTGTGTGTGGGGGGGGGGGGGTGGGAGGAGAGAGAGAGGGAGAGAGGAGAGAGAGAACACGTGTGTGAGTGTGGCAGGCCAGGGAGAAGAAGTTGGAGGGTGTAACAGGAAGGCAAGCGGCAGGGCTGGCTCCTGCTTTGTTGACTTAGTGAGTCTGGCTGCACAGCCAAGGCCTTTGGAAAGAATGGCCTCCCTGCTTCCGGCCGTGTCCACCGAGCTGTTGCGGGACTGAGGGACTGAGCGAGATTGTGCAGGTGTTTGTGGGCAGGAGGGCAGTTCAGTGGGGTTCCAGGGCACCAGGGTTTGGAGAACTCTAGCAGGACTTGTGCTCGATGATGTCCTGGGAGGTAAAACACAACCGTGGTTTCAGAAGGTGACATTTCTCTCCACCGTACGGGGTTGTCTGGCCTCCCTTTGAGTTAACTTCCCCAGGAGGCCTGCTTCCACTTTCTGACCATTACAGGTGCTGTTGAGGTGATTTCGATTTCAAAAGCAATTTCCTCTGACAGCTTCTCGTTAGCTAGTGAACAAATGTGGCAGATAGAAGTTAGCGCCATATGTTTGGCAACTCCAGGCAGGCATCTGAATTTCTGGCTGCGGCCTGTGGCCTTCTTCTGTTCCTCCAGCAGGTGGCAGTAAAGACCTAGTGATTCTGCTCTCTTTTGCATGAGCTGGGGCAGGGGGCGGGGTGCGGGGGGGTGGGGGCGGGGGGGCACTCCAGGAGAAGTAGAGCTGGCTCAGGGTGACCTTCTTGTTAGTGGACTTCCTGCCGGTTGGCACACTTGTGAATAGGATTTGCTTCTGACTCTATAGATGAATTTTCTCAGAAAAGGTTACTATGAGATCTGGGGTCAGGGCTGTCATTGTGACCACTCAGTGTGTACCCCAGAGTCTGACACATAGTCAGTGCTTAATAGACGCTTGCTGACTTCCACCAAAGTGTGCGTACGTCCAAAGGAAAGTAAATGCATTGTGTTGCACCTCTGCCAGGTGATATGTTAGGTGACTTTTCTTATGAAATAAGGCTTCTAATTCTCATTTTACAGAAAGAGAAATTGAGGCCCAGGGAAGTAAGATAATTGGCCAAAGTTCACACAGATGTGACCCAGGTCATCTGACTGAAGCTTTTGGGCTTGCAGGTTTGCTCTATTGGGGTGGGAGAGATCTAGATTTAGCAAAAGTCTAGGATGAATTTTGTTTCAGAAAAAGTAAGGGAATCCAGTATAGCTTTTAAAAAGTATATTTTTATTGATTTCAGAGAGGAAGGGGGAGGTGGGAAGAGACAGAAACATCAATGATGATAGAGGATTATTGATCGGCTGCCCCCTCATGCCCCCCATACTGGGAATCGAGCCTGCAACCCGGGCATGTGCCCTGACTGGGAATCAAACTGCAGTCTCCTCGTTCATAGTTCGACGTTCAAGCACTGAGCTGTGCCGGCTGGGCCAGTGTAGCTTTGATCTTGATTCATCAGTTTGTTTCTGAATATCTGCTGTGTACTGTGTACTCAGGAGGGAGAGGTGGAGGACCTGGTTCCTGTTAGTGGGGAGGTGATGGCACACGTGCGGAGCACCGCAGGAGAACTACACAAGCTCGGGGTGCCATGGGAACCCCAAAGAAGGGGTGGGAGGCCAAGGAAATCCCTCAAAGGAGACAAGCTCAAAGCTGCGTCCTGGAGGACTTGGCCAGGCAAGAGGTGGGGGAGGATATTCCAGGCAGAGAAGCCTTACTTCATAAGAAAAGTCACCTAACATATCACCTGGCAGAGGTACAACACAATGCATTTACTTTCCTTTGGACGTACGCACACTTTGGTGGAAGTCAGCAAGCGTCTATTAAGCACTTACTATGTGTCAGACTCGGGTACACACTGAGTGGTCACAATGACAGCCCTGACCCCAGATCTCATAGTAACTTTTTCTGAGAAAATTCATCTATAGAGTCAGAAGCAAATCCTATTCACAAGCGAGCTACTTCCCCTGCCTCTTGCAAAGCGCCCCCAGCCCCTCCTCTCCTCATGTGACAGGATTTGTATATTTGGGGAACTGACGAGGTTCAAGGTGAGGGGTGAAGTCAGGTAAGCAAGGGGCCTTGGAAGCGATGAAGAGGTTTGAGGAGGTTTTGGCAGGAATGTGACATTTTTAGAAGATCCGCCCAGTTCCTGGTGGAGAGTGGTGGGAGGAGGCTGAGACCGAGGCCAGGGAGGCCAGTTGAGGGTTGTAATAAGAGAGGCTGGTGACCTAAACTGGCATTATAGCTATGGAGATGGAGGGAGCTGGAACTATTTATAGAAGGGAGAGCTGACAGGAGTGGGGGCAGATTGCCTGTGAGGGAAGGGTGAGAGAAAGAGTCTGGGTGACCTTGAGGTCCGTCCTGGCTTGGGCAGCCAGGTGGATGGAATGGTTTCTTCAGTCAGAGTGATCTTTACGATCCATGAACACTTCCACACCCGCTGTTTTAAGAGGAAGGTGCTTCATCTTCCAGTTCAACTGTGTTTCCAGGGTTTGGAGGACGCCCCTGGGCGGTGTTAGCCCTGCACCTTGAACATGTGCAGGTCACACCTTTAGGGCAGCCTTCGTCTTTCCTTTGCTCTCTCTCAGCGGATGCTCGGGCTATGGGACCTTTCCAGTCAGGTGTCTGCTGTGGACACTCGGGGAGCCTCTCCGCCTCTTGTGCAGCTGGTGGACCTTGGGGAAAGCTAACCCTGGCCTGGACGCACAGGCAGGGCATGAGGTTCAAGCCTAAGGCGACCTGAATAATTGTATGTCTTGTCCTCTGTGTTAGTCTCCTGGGTCTGCCTAACAAATTACCATCAACTTAAGACAACAGTTGTTTTCTCACAGTTCCGAAGTCTAGAAGTGCAAAATCCTATTATCAGCCAGGCTCTGCTCCCTCCCGAGGCGGGGGTGGGGGGGAGTCCGTGCCTTGACTACTTCAGCTTCTGGTGAC